CTAAACAAATCTCAACCATCCATTTTTCATTAATGACCTAATCTCCAACTAAACTCCCTATCAAATTGCACCTCTCTACCAAGCAAGATATTGGAATTAAAAATCAAATTCTCATCTTAATCTCACCATTAATTTTCTCATGTAAACTCCCAATCCCATTCTCTCGAGTTAATAAACAAACCGAGGTAAGGAAAATAAGCAATTCAAGTGGCGCTAATAAAGGAAGAGATAGTACTCCTTCAGTTTTAAAATATAATGATCTATTATCATATGGGATGTATTTTAATACTTAGATATGTTTTATTCGGTTTTAAATTATTATATTTTGGACATTGATAGTAGGGAGGAGCGTTGGCCGCCATGGATGCTCGGTGATGAAGACAGCCTATATAGACCTACCATGAATACAGTTAATCTTGCGAAACTTTTATATGTAACATTACATTAGAAATAAATTAATACATTATCCCTATACATCTATATATCCTTATATACTCCATCCGTTTTATATTAGTTATTGACTTTTTCTTTAGTCAATACTATCTCCGTCCCGGAATATAAGAAGTTTTAGAGTTGGACATGGTTATTAAGAAAATATGTATAAGTGAATAATGGAGGGTTGTAATTGGTTGGGTAGTGGATGTTGGTGGAAAAAGTGAATGGTGGAGAGTTGTGATTGGTTGGGAAGAGAACGTTGGTGGAGAAGTTATTATATTTTGGGACGAAGGGACTATATTTTGAGTTTGATCAAATTTATAGAAAAATATAGCAATATTTTCAACATAAAATAAACATATCATCAAAATATATTAAATCCTAGTCTTAACGAGACTAATTTAGTGTTATACATGTTACTAATTTTTTTATAAACTTAGTTAAATTGAAAGTTACTTATATAATATGAAATGAGTAGTTCGACCAAAAGCTTGATATGTACTAAGCCACATTATTTATAGAGAAAATCCGAGAAATGTCATGTCATTGACAAGCGTACTATTCCAAAAAATGCTATCGATAAGTGCAAGTTCCATGAAATACTATCGTACAAGCGATTTTGTCATATAAATACCATCGCCGTTAGGATTCCATCAATCCCGCACCGTTAAATACACATCCTATAATATTTAATGGAGGGTTGCTAACGGAACCCTAACGGCGATGGTATTTTTGGGACAAAGTCGCTTGTACGATGGCATTTCATAGAACTCACACTTATCAATGGCATTTCTTGAAATTAGGTGCTTGACAATAACATTTTTTGGATTTTTCCTCTTATTTAAAAAAATAGTAACCTTGATCTCTCATGTTTTGATCTCAAACATCCATTTATCACGTGTATTTATAAACCACTAAGTATAATTATTCCTATAAGTATTTGTGTGTATTTAACCATGTTAGCTATTGGATCTCTCTCATGCTTAGTACATAAATATCTAGGTGCCATGTACAATTTCAATTTCACATCAACTACTGTCGACGGGATATACCCGACAACAATATTTCTATAGTATGTAGGATGTTGATACTGAGGTATATGCGAGATCGTGGTAAAAAATACGAGGGACATTTATTTTTATACTGGTTTAGCTCACAAGATGAATAATAGCCCTAGTTAAATTTATATGAATAGCTCTGGGATGTATCACAACAATTATAATAGGGGAGCAAGCTAGCTAATCTAGCATACCAACTAGTATTCGTCAGTAACTAATCCGATGACTTGGAGTCGATGGCTATACATTGACTTCCTCCTGGCTGGTCTTCGATGTGGCTTGTAGCTATGGCTTATGATTCGATGCCCTTCCATCTCAGGGGCTATATATTTATACGGGTAGGGAATATCTTGTTAAGTGGAACTCGAGGAGTCTTTGTGGGATACAGGCATATAAGACATTGCCTTTCCCGAGTTGGTGTTTGATATCTTGTATTCCCATGCAAGGAGTTTGTTCTTATATGCTATATTCCCATATCCGAATATACCTTTTCGTATAATACTAGTATATATGGTATTCCTAGTGGTCATGAATCCAAGTATAAGAAGTATACCTAATCTGTAACATTGACAACTACTATATATATCTCTTAAAATACTGTCCTTTTAGGCATTATAAATATACAATTTACAAATTGTTTTGTTTGAGTTTTTTAAGTACATATAAATTCCCCACTACGATACATGGAGTATCCACTAGTTTAAGTATAGAATGGATCCCTTAGGCAATACTCAACGCATCATCGTGGACAGTGGTCTCAAGCTTCCATGTTAGAGCCGAGTGCGGGTGGCAATGGGGACCGTGGTCCTGCACTACAACGTGTGTTCTGTAGAGGTTACAATTTCCTCGATGTGCCTTGGCTCGGAGCCACGGTCAGGGCCACATATTGGGGAGGTCTGGATCCCCACGGCGTGCTTGTTCTATATATGGAAAAAAGAGATATGGTGGAGAAGAGGAGAGGAGGGCCTACCAAGCAGGGATTGAGTTTATTGCCTGCGAGCTCGTCCGCACAGACGACGAGTAGATCTACCGCAAGGGAGCTCTTCCGTTCATCAAGTTCCTCTGCATCGCGGGCTCATCCATGCTTGAGCTACTATGTCTGTCAAGCTCATTGTCGTTCCTCGAGATACGGTAGCCGCGGGGCTCATGGCCGGATCCGGTGAACTCTTGGCCAGATCTGACGAACTCAACCAGAGAGAGGAGAGGCGGAGGTTAAATGGGAGAGGTGTGGACGGTTTATACCTATCTACGGTATATTGTAGAATATGGGAAATGTTGGAAGTTGGAACCAAGGTATACGCGTGATCATATCAAGGAGACAAGGAACAAGGGTTTATACTGGTTAGACCCCTCAAGATGACAAGGAACAAGGGTTTATACTGGTTAGACCCCTCAAGATGAGTAATTATCCTACTCCAGTATATATGTATATATGGATGGGAATACAAAGTTCTCGCCACCTCCATCCTCTTGAAGGGGAGAGGCACCGCTGGATAGGGTATCTTTCGTCTTCTATCATTGAGAAATCGCGACAGCGCTTGAGGAGAATGGGGGAGACAGACTGAGAGGCACCGCTGGATGGGGTGGCTTTCGTCTTCTGTCGTTGAGAAATCGCGGCAACGCTAGAGGAGAATGGGGGAGGTGAAGACACTGGATACGGAAGAGCGACAACGGTGCTAGATGAGGAGAGAATGGCGACTGCGTTCGATCAGTGGGGAGGGGATAAGGTGTGGTTATTGTCAGGGTTATGGATAACACATACCTAATAGTAATCGACTAAGCTCGGCAGGGCCCACCACATACCAAGTTTTATATGGAATCATACCTTGTATATAGAAGGATTTCTGGATAAGGAATGACAAGTAGAGTTATATATGGAAACTATAAAGACTACTCGAATCGTATTCATACTTGTATTCCTAACTGTACTTGGACAAGGGGACATCTATGGGTATAAATACCCCTAGGAGGAGAGTGGACTCATATACAAACCAAGACGAAATAGTCAGAATAGACACCAATACACGCCGCTAAACATCGACATCAGAGATCAGCCTAGACAAACCCAATCTAGTGCCTGCGGAGGCCAACAAGAGGGATCTAGCGCCATCTATGATCTCGCCGAGTTCATATTCGAGGAGGAAGACTATCCTGTTGTCGACTACTTGTTGGTGTCCATGCCACCATGTCGACAACTAGATAGGTTATCCCAAATATTGTACTTGTGTGATTTTGATGAATAAGAGCAACACCGGCTTCGACCAACAGGAGTAGTGCTATTACCTGATTCTGATGAATATGGGGCCCGAACCTGTATAAAATCCTTGTCTATGTTTCTTTTAGCTCAATCTCGCATATACCCTAGTATCAACGATCCCTATAACATGCAAATACCGTATTCATGATATAAACATTGACAGTTGTGGAAAGGAAGAGGGAGAGGTTTGGGTGAAAAGTCATATGCGTGTAGTTGACAAGTGGATCCAATATAGTTTAAGGGTGTATATGTACTTCATTTTATTATTATAGGGTTCAAAATATAAAACTCCAATTGATTTGATAATAAAAAAATATCATAAAGGCTAACACGTAAATAATTAGGGATTGAAATATAAAATATACTAAGGAGTGGTCTTCATAAGACCACTAGGCTGTGTTCGGTAGTGTAGGATGGGAAGTAATCCCTCCTGCATGCAAAACGAAGCAATCTATTAGTACATGATTGATTAAGTATTAGATAATTTTTTTAAAAAATAGATCAATATGACTTTTTAAATAAACTTTCGTATATAATTTTTTTTATAAAAAACGTACCGTTTTTTAATAGTTTAAAAAGTGTGCGCGTGGAAAACGAAAGAGGTGAGTTGGAACATGAGGTGCCGAACACAGCCTTAATACTAGCGGGCTTCCTTGTACGTGGCCTTAGGGTCTGTTTAGATCCCACCCCAAAATTTTACACCCTGCCACATCAAATGTTTGAACAACTGTATGAAGTATTAATTATGAGCTAAAAAATAACTAATTGCACAGATTGCGACTACTTTGCGAGGTTAATCTTTTAAGCCTAATTGCTCCATGATTTGATAATGTGATACTACAGTAAATATTTGCTAATGATTGATTAACTAGGCTTAATAAATTCGTCTCGCGGTTTATTGACGAATATTGTAATTAGTTTTTTTGTTTAGTGCCGAACACCCATACGACACTATATATAATATCCGATATGACACACCAAAACTTTACGCCCCTATATCTAAACCAACCCTTAAAAAAAAGAAAGAGTACATGATAAATCCCTTAAAAAAGTATAGGATGAATGAGTAGACCAAAGTCACCAAACACACGTGGACCCGACTACACTATGTAACACATCCTGGCATTTACAACCAGCCCCCTCCCTCTGGGAGATGGTCCCCACACCCCCAGGCCCCCACGCGTCGCGTCCACGGAAACCGTACCCCACAGAAACGAAAACCCCCCTCCGCCCCCCCAACTAGAAGCCCGAAACCGTCGGAGAGTTGGAGGCGGCGTCCCTATCCCATCCGTCGTCCGTCCCCGTACGTCCGCCACCCAGTCGCCTTCCCCCCTCCCTCCGTCTCCACCGCTTCTCCCGCCGCCTCTTCTCCTCCAACCACCAGACGGCGACCACCGCGGCACACACACAGAGACCCCCAGATGCTTCCGCCGACTCCGATCAGCAGCCGCTCGCCACCAGCCCACCACCAGTGAGTGACGCGACGCGACCGGCGGCGGCGGCGATGGGCAGCGTGGACTTCGGCCTCGTCGAGATCCACCCCGGGGAGATCCGGTTCGAATGTACGTGCTCCCCCCCCCCCACCCACCCACCCACCCACACACACACACACACACACACTCTCTCTCTCTCTCCCTCTGCAGCAGACGAGCGGTGTGTTTCGGGGAGGCACTGGCGCTTCCCCCGGTCGAGGTTGCGGGCTCGCGGCCGCGCTTAGCCGATTGATTTAGTATCGCTTTGATTTGGGATCGCGGCGTTCTGATCGTGAGCGAGGCTGCTGATTAGCTGGAGACGTGCGTTGTTTTTTTTTTTCATTTTTGGCTTGGCTTGGGTTTGGGGTTTTTGAGGTGCTCGTGGGTTCAATTTGATTAGAATTACAACAGGGATGAAGTTCGCACTGTTTTTGAGGCGCCTCGTGAGTTTACTTGGGGGACCAATTTGATTAGAATTACAATCGGGATGAATTTTGCTAAGTTTATTATTATTATATCTAAAAACAATTACTATATTGCATTCTCTTTTCCTTTACATTTTTGTGGACAAGACAATAGCTGTAAACTTATAGTTGCGTTACTTCTATACAAGCAAATTTTATTACGCGTTAGCATTTTTGTGGCATGTACTTGCAGTTGGGATTTGGTTACGTTATATTTTCATCATTGAGTCTTTACTTTAGGAACCTGAGCCTTTCTGGCGGTGGTGGTAGTAGTAGTTGTGGTGGACTGGTTGTTGGTAACTAGCGATGAGGTAGCTCCTGCTGCACCCTGAGTGGTTGTCATGTTTGGCACGGGGCATGCAACAGATCTGTTTTCTATGCGGTTGTGCGATTGGTGAATCGGTTGCAATGATGTCTTTGTGAATTCCTTGTTTTTTCACCTTAGGTGAGACTGTTAAAGAGAGTACAAGGACATGCTTTGTTGCTGAATATGCTTGGTCTGTGCCATAAACCGCACAAGGTGGTAAAACAGGTCAACGTGGTTGCGCACATGAGTGATTAGGACTTAGGAGCAACCTTACTTGACCACTTGAGTTTAATCACCACATTTACATAGGCACTGGCTGTTGGGTAGTGGCCTTGTTGAGACCAGTGACAGCCGACTTAAATCTATTTCTAGATTTATGCAAAACATCATGTACTGGTGATAGTGTTATATCGTCTAGATAATTTCTGTAGATGCCTTCTGTTCATGAGAAAAGATGGTGGCGGTGTGTTTGATGGATACAAGTCGCCTTGTATGCATGCCTTTATATTAGATTTGAGGCTTTTGTACTCTTTGTCCAGATTAATCTATTTATTTTTGTGTGCGTATGGTTACTGTGATTTTGGGTGAAGATTGGAACTCAACTGTGCATTATTTCCATTTGGTTTTCCTTTCTCACCAAGGTGATTAGGGGCCTGAGCCCATATCAATAGGAGCAGTCTTGGCTTTTTTATATGAAATTATTTTGAATATAGTTGAGATAAGCTTAACTTGTAATTATAATGATAAAAAGATCCCTCACATTCAGAATGTAGAAACACGTGAACCATTTCTAAGGATTAAAAGGTGTTAGCTACAGCCCAAAATGTATGTTAGACTTCTGTTTGAAGCTAAACTATAACAATGCATGCTCTATGAGGGAATTATTTCACTTCCATAGTCCATATAATGACCTTCATCTTTCTACTGCTCCTATTGTAATCAATTATTTGCTACTCTATAGGGGATGCCATGCATCATTCACCATTTTAGAAAAATCATATTGAGTGGCAAAAGATCTTACCACATATATAGTGGTGAATAATGGTTACAACAAAGAGCATGGGTACCCTAAAATTAGCCATTTTGTCGATTGGCATATGCTCCAGCTCCTCCTTGTTGGTTGCGGTCATTGTCAACTTGTCATATTAAAATTAAAAATAGTCCTCTTATATCTACTGCAGTCATTTACCCTTTGAGAGATTTAAGTGAATGCCAAAATATCTTACCTGCCCAAAGATTTGACTAATAGCACCGATTGTTAAACTAATGGGATTGCAGTGAATATTCTTACCACATGCAACTGTTTGTCTTACAGGACCAAATATGAGCAGAGGACTTCTATATGACCTTATCTATGCTACATTTTTCTAGTTCTTATATAACCATCTGGATGAAATCTTGTACTATCATTTTTGAAGATATATATATATATATATATTTATGTGCTGTGCTTTTTTTCTTTGTTGTCAGTTGAGGTGAAGAAGAAAAGTTCATGTTATGTCTGTCTAGTGAACAAATCAGAGGAATATGTTGCATTCAAGGTTGGTATACAATCTTGAGCTGTATTCAAGTTTTCATGTTCTAGATTTTCATCATGTTGATGATGCTTGAAGCTAATATTAGATGGACATGTGTGGAGCTTTTAAACTTACTTATGATCATCAGTATCTCAATTAATGAATCGATACATGAAGATGGATTTTTTTTTTGTATTTACTTTTGATTAAGCACCATGGTAAAGTGCAAACTCTGATCTTGCTACCAACATTTTGCTAGGTCAAAACAACTTCTCCAAAAAGGTATTGTGTTCGACCAAATGTAGGAGTCATTCTTCCAAGGGCAACATGTGTTTTTACAGGCAAGTATCTTCTACTGTCTGATGGCCACAACAATGATTTGACAAATTTATGATTGATAATGTTGCGCAAGTAGTGTGTTATATTCTTCCAGTTGACACGATGAAACATATTTATGTTACAGCACTCAAAATTCTTCTATGAAGTTAGCATCTATTTCTTTTCAGCACGAAATCTGCTCTCTGCTGATGATAAATTAACTCTTACAGTATTGCTTTATTACTTGGTTTGTTCATCCAATGGACGCCATCTTACTTTTGTGGAAGACATGAATGAGCTCGACGTTTCTGTTATTGTTTTATCTGTTTAATTTGATTTGTTCAATATAGTATATTTTCCTTGCATTTTATGCTTGTTGACTTTATTATTTAACTAAATGTAGTTATTATGCAAGCACAAATGATTGCTCCACCAGATCTGCAAATAAGAGACAAGTTTCTTGTGCAGACCACAGTTGTTCCTTTTGGTACAGCTGACGAAGACATTGCTCCTGCTTTTGTAAGTAATTAAGTATGCAGCAATTTATGTTTTGCTTATGGGATTCTACGTTTTGCATCTTTCACCCAGATCTTAAACCCTCCTGATTCCTCTTTGCAGTTTTCCAAAGAAGTGGGAAGATATATCGAGGAGAATAAGCTGAGAGTTGTTCTTGTCAGTGCGACTCAACTTGAAGAACAGCAACTCATTGCAGGAGTTCCCAGTGCTAAGACTGGTGTTGAGGTTCGTGTGGCAAAAGAGACACTGAATATTGAGAGTGAAGCATCTAATGTCATGAACGAAGTTCATCATTCCTTGAAAACAAACTTCCCCCCTCTGAGAGAAAATCCAGCTACTTTGAACGAAATGCCCTTCCCTGTAAAACAAACAACTATTCTGGCCCCATCAAAAGAAGTTCCAGCTATTTCAGCAGAAAGTGCTCACCATTGGAAAGAAACCCCTGCTGAAAGCTTGTTTTCAAGTAATGCAGTTCATCATTCGCTGAAAACAAGTTTCCCCCCTCTCAGAGAAAATCCAGCTACTTTGAATGAAATGCCCTTCCCTGTAAAACAAACAACTATTCTGCCCCCATCAGAAGAAGTTCCAGCTATTTCAGCAGAAAGTGGTCACCATTGGAAAGAAACCCCTGCTGAAAGCTTGTTTGCAACGAATGCACTTCCTCATTCCCTGAAAACAAGCTGTCTTCTCAGAGAAAATCCAGCTATTTTGAATGAAATTCCCTTCCCTGTAAGACAAACAACTATTTTGCCCCCATTAAAAGAAGTTCCAGTTATTTCAGCAGAAAGTGCTCACCATTGGAAAGAAACCCTTAATGTTTCTCTAGAATCTCATTTTTCATCAACAGAAACAAATGTTGTCTCGAGTGAGTGCCCTGAAACATTGGAAAATACTTCTCCTTCAAAAGAATTTGCCATCTTAAGAGATACACTTGTCAATGCAGAGAATCTTCACTATGTAAGTTGCCTATTCTAAAGTATTTTGCATGTTCTGCTGCCTCTGTTTTAGCTTCGTAGACCATTTTGTTTATTTGTGACATTAGCATATTACTGTTGGAATTCAAAAACCCATTTGTTCTTATGTTATTATCAAGTATAATTTGCTAGCACTTACAGGATACTTCCCTCCAAACCGTGCATTTTATCTTTATATTGGTTGGAAATAGTGAATATGGTCACTTTGTTTGCATGCAATGGTTTTGATTTGTTTACTGCACAGTCCACTAGCTAAGTGGCTATCTCTGTTCATTACCCGTACCAGGTAACTGATGATGTTCAGAATCTAATGACAAAACTCAGTAACCTAGAAGCAAAACTAGAAGAGGTAATGATTTTTTAACACGACACATTTGAGTTATGTTGAGGAATTAATGAGATAATTCTGAAGACATTTTCTTGATCTTTACATTATTGTATTGTTTCTTTTTTATGTGTAGGCTGAAAGTGTGATAGTTAAACTGAGGGAGGACACCAGAACTACCATTAGGGAGCGGGATAAGCTAAAGCACGAAATGGTGAGATTTAAACCACAGTACCGCATCATTATTAACACCTATGCTCCGTTGTTGACAAAATAACTGAAGTCTCAGAAGGATTCTAATTTCTTCATATTCATCTTTTGATTTTCTGCAAGAGATTTTATTTTTATTCTGTCCATTTGGTCCATGTCATATCCACCTGGAGCAACACAATGCCAAATAGGTCCTAGTATACCAAGTGAAAACAATGTCATATTCTCCTTATGTTGAGAATGCACCGTAAGATCGCACATGTTAACGTATCATCATGTTCTGTAACCGATCTGTTTCTCTGGATCAGGTCGTCTTGACAAGGAAGGGCGCTTCACGGAGCCAGGCTGGTTTCCCTTTGCTGTTTGTGGTCTACATGGCGATCCTTGGCGCGTCACTCGGTTACCTGTTGCACCTATGATTCTGATTGATTGGTGCAGCTGGAGACGAAGTAACAGTATCACAGGGAGTACGTGCTGAGCTTTCTCACAGCAGCTGGAGTAGGAAAAGAAAAGAAATCAGAGGCAGGTAGCCTCCTCTTGGTACTGAATCAGGGATGAACTCTTGTCACGTGACGATCGTCACAACAATTAGTTCAGGCGTCCACTTACTAGGTGATTAACCAATTAAACGGAGTACATAAAACAGCATGATTTTTTATTTACGCTGTACATAACCTCTTTATATAAGTTTCCTGCCCGTGGACCGTGGTCGCTAGAGATAATCCAGGATGTTGTTCAGAGTTAAAACCTTTGTCACTACTACTAGTTGCCACGGAAACTAGTTTGATGCTGTTGACTTTTTTTTCCAACGTTTAACCATTCATCTTATTTAAAAAAATAATGTAATTATTATTTATTTTATTATGACTTGATTCGTTATCAAATGTTCTTTAAGCATGACATAAATATTTTCATATTTGCAAAAGAAAATTAAATAAAATGAATGGTCAAATGTTAGTTAAAAAGTTAACGGCGTCATATATTAAAATAGTATTTCTCTTAACCTGTTCTCCAATTGCCTGGCCTCCTGCCGGCCAATGGCGTCTAATCAAACTGAAATCCGGCGGGCGGCCGGCCGCCGGCGATCACGCTGGGGGGCGGTGTTTCTGAAGCAGGAAAACGATAAGAGCCCAAGAGCAAACGAGCTTATGAGTTAATTAAACATTAGGGCCGAAATTAACTAAAACTTGTATCATGATGATGATTTCCTAAGACTAAATTAAGGCCCTATTAACTCCAAAAAAACTGACGGAGTGGAAGCCTCGCTTCATGATTTTCTAAGGGGGAATAGTAAAGGACGGTATGAGTATCGATCGACGTCTCAGAAGTATCATCCTGTCCAAATGAGCTATCATCATGTAGCATGCTTCTTTTCTAAAACTAAATCAGGGCCTTAATTAACTCCAAACCTGATAGAGTGGCAGCCACACAATCTGGTTGGGGTGATTACTCTATTTGGTTGAGGGGGGGGGGGGGGGGTTGAATTACTCTATTCATGGCTTTTCCAAGCTTGTCGTGCCCGTATGTTCGCGTCCATCGTTGACTTTTTCAACGCCATGCACGCACGTCGCCACGTAGGCACGCGCCTAAGCCGCAACCCCTGCAAGTATAAAAGCGCGCCTACCGCCTCCTCCTCTCGTTGCCTCCGAACCCTTCAAGCTCCGCCGATTCCTCTCCTCCTCCTCCGCCTCCTCCTCCGGCGTCGTCGGCGTCAGCAGCGGCGCCGGCCATGGGTTGCGGTGGCTCCAAGGAGGACGTGGCCACCGGCAACACCACCGCCCCCGCCGCCGCCGGCAGCAGCAAGCTCTTCCGGAGGAAGTCCTCCGTCTCCGCCAGCCACCGCTCCTCCTCCTCGTCGTCTTCCAATGGATGCACCTCCGTCTCCGTCAAGGACGTCGCGACGAAGAAGGAGGAGGAGACCGAGGCCGACGCCGTCGAGGTGACGTCGGCCGAGGAGGCGGCGGCGGCGGCGGTGGTGGTCAAGAAGGACGTCACCATCGCCGCTGCCACGCTCGCGGTGACCGAGGCGATGGCGACGGCGGCGGAGCCGAAGGAGGAGGAGGAGGAGGAGGAGGAGCTGCCCGAGTCCACCATGGCCGACGAGGCGCCGGCGGCGGTGGTGGAGGCGGCGCCGGCCAAGGCCGACGAGACAAAGGAGGTCGCTGTTGTCAAGGAGGATCAGGAGAAGGCTGAGGAGGAGACCAAAGCCGAGGAGGAGGAGACGCCGTCGTCTCCAGCTCCGGCAACTGACCTTGGTAATTGCTTGTTGCGTTTTGTATTTTAAGTTGTTTTGATATTTTTTTATTAATTAGTCAAACTTTTAAAAGTACAATAAAATTAGTAGAAAATATACCTATATTTTTCAAGATAAAATAAACATATTTTTTCAGTGTACATTAAATTAATTAGGTGTTTTAGATGTTTCTAAATTTTTTTATAAACTAGAACACATTATTTTAATCTTATTACTATTATATGGTTTAATTCTGTGAGAATTCGCTTGGATATATATATTCTTTTTTAGAAAATTATGAGCTGTAATTAGGAATCCGATCGTCTCAAGTTAGTATGCGAGTTTTTCTAAGAAATTTTTTATACGACTCCTTCTAAATTTTCAAAAGCGAATGAACTTAAAAATTAAAAATTAACTCAAATATGAATATATATTTCCAAAAGCAAACAAACTTAAAAACTGACTCATACACAGATGACGTACCAAAGTATCGGTATATCTAATTTTTTTAAAAAAGCTAATAAATACTTAATTAATCACATGCTAATGTATGTTCCGACAAAACCAAATGAACACAGCCTTAATCCAAATTACATACGGACACACTAAGTTGTTATCTTCCTGTCAAACCACACTGGACACAAGCACACGGCTGGGTTTGGGAACAACACGGCATTGGGCACGTCATGCGCGGGCACGTGCTTGATCCGAGTGACGCGCAGGCGGACTTGACATACGAGATGGCGAGATGCACCAACGAAAAAGTTTGAGAGCAGATTTCGTTTTTAATGTTTTCGGAAAGAAAGACACACGACACGGGCAATTGAAATTGGAGTAGGAGCGACGTACGAAATTTTGTTCGGCAAAAACATCTTAAACTTTTATAATAGTAGAGACTTGGTCAAGTTTTACAAGTAAAAAAAAATAAAATAACTTATAATATGGTCAACTACAATGAAAAATCATGTGGAATAAAAACGCAAATATCAAATAATAATAAAAATGGGTGAGAGACTTCAAACTCGTTTAGGTCTAGCCCATCATCTTATGGAGCTAGCCGAGAGACCTATAAGGTGTTTTAAACAAATCATGCAAATTCTAGTATAATTAATTTCAGCCAGAAATGGAGAGAGTTCGCTCTAATTATTCGTGCCACATTTTGCAGGGGAATCGAAAGAGCAGAACACCATGGAGGCCAAACCTGCCGTCAACGACAACGGCGAGCACAAGGTAGAGGAGGTGGCCACCACCGTCGTCTCAGAGTCATCGTCGCCGTCGCCGTCGCCGTCGGAGGCAGAGAAGAAGGAGACCGCCGCCGAGAAAACCAACGACGTGGCTGTCCCGGAGTCTTCCTCGCCGTCGGAGGCGGAGGAGAAGAAGGACGCCGCCGCCGACGAGAAAACCGCCGCCGCCGTGGCAGCGGCAGCCGCAAGCGAATCATCATCACCGGCGAACTAAACGGAGGCGAGACCGATCGATCGAAGAGACGACGTGTAAACCATATCCCATCCATCATATCCATGTACCTGGAATTAATCCGGGAGATCCATGGATTTATAATCAATCAATCGACGTGCTCCTCACTCATCTTTGGTTGAAGCAAATATACGTATGCATATATGCTACTCCGGCGACATCGCCGGAGCTCGATCCCGAGATCCGCCGTTCGTCCATGCCATGCACGCCGGCCGGCGATCTGCTCTAACACTGGGCTGACTGCGTGTAGTTAGGTTCTAAGCTGGTCCAAAAGGAATAAGTTCACTCTAGGTCTCTCAATTTGTCGTCCAGTTTGATTTTCGTCCTTAATTCGGAAAACCGGATATGACGCATCCCTAACTTATAAAACCATACAAACAAGGTCCCTCGATAGTATTGACCATAGTTTTAGCCTATGTGGCTCATTTGACTAGGTCTTCGTCCCACGTGGCATTGACATGACACTTACGTGGTAACTTGATTACGAAAAATAATAACACACGTGGGACCTACATTTCAGTTACACACAAAAAATAAAAAAAATGGTGAGCCCCATATGCCATCTCCCTACTCCCTCTTCTTCTCTCTATATGTGGTCGGAGTAGCATCATCGATGTCAACCGACGCAGCCACTACTAGGTCTGTCGCCTTGGCGAGGACGAGCGAGAGCTTCCCGCCACCAGAGTACGCCATGTGTGGCCCACTAGATCCTGATCCATGCTCCTGAGGCTTGACGGAGGTGGATCCACGCTTTTGAGGCCATGTCATTGCGGTCACCATCACTGTTGTTGAGCACTACAAGCCTCCAGTTGAGGTCCCAATGCCTTCGAGCTTGCTGGCTTCGGATCTGCCATCCCAAGGCCCACCAACCGCGGGCATGGTCGATGGTGGCTCGCAGCGGGCATGAGTAGAGGCGAAAGGCCGTGCGTGGTGTTGTAGCATGCTAGGGAGTGGGAGGAGATGAGGGAGGAGAAGGGGCAAGGGAGAGAAGTGAGGAGGCGGAGAGAGGGAGGTGAAGGGATAAGGGCGCGGGCGCGCGGCTTGTGTCTAGGAGCGGTCGATCCGACTTCTAATTTTAAAGGGGCTTTTGGTTTACACAAACGGCACCCTCTATGAAAAAATGATTTTCGCAGGCCTCTATATTTTCTATTTCAGTCCTTGTATTGTTTTTTTTCCAATTTATATGGTAGTCTAAAACTTTACACTAAACATCCCAAAAACCTGATATAAATTCACTACTTCATAAATTCCTTCAGTTTCATTTCTTCCACCACCAGCCTCTCTTCCCCCCCTTCCACCACCGCCACAAGCCTATCCCTTTTTGTTTTTGATTGAAGTACTGTAGCGGAGGCCCCCACAGTTTTTTTTAAAAAAATATCAAAACAAAGAATATTTACAAAGAAACAATCCAGTCTTTAAGAATCTCTCTTTTTACGGATTATGTCTAAATAAAAGCAAGAGTAATTCATTCTTATCAAGATGTCCCCAATAATATACAGAAGGCCTTTGAGCTTGTAAACTAAAACCATTTCTCTGCTTCCAAATGTGTCAAGCAACATATAAAACTTTCTCCACAAAATGAGATGAAGTATATGAAGCTTTTGCTGCTTGAAGCATATCTCACAAATTGGAATTCAGGCCCTAGACTATACCAACTTGAAGCCAACATTCAAAGTTTCTCTTATACTCCTGTCACATAGGACACAAATTAATTCACTTCTTCTTGGGGCACATTCAAAGTCCCAAGGCTATTCCCTTCCACGACCGCCACTACCTCTCCCCTCCCAGTGAGGAGGACAAGCGTACGCGAACGAACTTGGCCATGCGAAGGTCGTCCTCATCTAGACCTTCTCCATCCCATTTTTGTTGCAGCCGCCACCTCCATTTATCTCTTCACCGGCGAAAAAGACGACCATCACCTTCCTTGTGGTGGTGCAACTGACTAACAAGCACCTTGGCGGCATGTGTGTGACAGGGTTGCGGGTTAGGTATACCCTTTACCCTTCGATATACGTCACATATCGGTATGGCATGCCCACGCGCATACGGATACTCTCTGCATACACTAAGGAAATCCTTCACGGAGTCTACGGACGAAAAGAGTCCTACTCGGACAAGACTGGGTCGTCAATGTATCGTGTAGGGTCTGATGTCTCCGAGTTCTACTTGGAAACCGCCTGACCTGCGATATAAAAGGGACCTCCCGGGGAGGACCTAGGACATCGAATCTCAAAGCCAACACAACCCCCACAGCCTACGAAGTCGGAGCCTGCAGGAGCCAAATCGCCGGGGATCTAGTCGAACCAACTCGACTACGATCTCGCCGGATCCATCGAGTTCCATTGTTCCCTTTGTAACCTGTGTTTTCCATCATATAATCTCACATCAACTGGATTAGGGCTATTACCTATTAAGGGGCCTGAACCAGTATAATCTTCGTCTTTTGTTTGCTTGATGCCGTATTACGTGGACCCTTGTACCAACGTACCCCAATACCCTCTATATCCGGTCTACGGGTATCACCCGTCGACAGTGTGGTCGACGAACTCCTCGGCAGCTACACATATCGGGGTTGCGTTGGGAAAAAATAGGGCGGCAGGCTCCCTAGCAGCGTCATAGATTGGGGTAGTGGAGCGTCTAGCGGCATCGTCCATAGCAGGTGGGCCCTTCTTCTCACTAGCCATAAGCCATCCTCCTTGCCCTCTCTTCCCTCGCCCCTACTGGTCAGTGGTTACCGCCGCGTTCTTTCTAGCCACCACTGCCTCCTCTCTAGCTCTAAATCAAGGCCCCACCTCTCGGCTTGATGACACGGGCTCATCCAAACGCAACTAGTGAGATGTAGCTTCAACACGTGATTGTCCTTGCCTGACAAGGTGCCCCATGTTCTCTGCAAGCAAGGAGTGGCTCCACGGGGGCATAGCTTGACTTGAGCTAGACCCGCAGCTCCAACGTGGCCGGTTGAAGCCACTCGCCAAATGGGCGTGTTGCAAATGCCCTATAGCCCCCACTAGAGTCCACAAGTCAGGGCTGCACACTACATCCGTCACCACCTTCTAAAGTAATAAGTTCACTTTGAGTCCCTCAATTTGTCAGTTAGTCTGATTTTCATCCTTGAACCAAAAAAATCAGATACAACCTATCCTCCAACTTACAAACCAGTGCAAAGAGGTCCATCAGTAGTATTGTCCCTGATTTTAGCTGACGTGGTGCCTACGTGGATCCTTTGACTAGGTCTTCGTTCCATGTGGCATTGACGTAGCAGTTTGATCCAAAAAAGGAGCAAAATGAAAACTAAAAAATTAAAACAAAATATGCGAGACCCATATGTCAGTCAAACAAGAAGATAAAAAATACTGTGACCCACATGTTAGTGGGTCCTACTTTCTCCACCTCACCCTCTCTACCTCTACCTCTATCTCCTCTCTCCACTGGCGAGCAGTCGAGCACGCGTAGAGAGGGACGAGTCAGGGAGTCCGGTGAAGGGGGAGGGGAGATGGTGTGTGGCGATGATGAAGCGCTTGCGGAACTTCTACCGTTTCTTGCCCTCGAGGGAGCGAAGGCGCGCAAGCTTCTTGTTGCGCTTGCGTTGGTGGAACTGGCGGGTGAGGTCGAGGCAGGTCAGGACATGCCCACTGCTTGGCTACACGCGTAGTTGAAGAACCCAGCGCCGGTCACTGACAACCCTGCGGCGGTGGAGGCGGTGTGGGTCTCGTGGCCCTCGGTGTCTAGTGGCGACTTGGACTCGTCTGTCTCATCGATGCCGTGACGTGGGGAGGGGTGAGGAGTGGAGCGGGGTGGGGTTGGCGGCGAGGTCACGCCCCCAAGGCCCCTTTGCTAGCCTCCGGCGCGCCCCTGGTCGGCCTCCCCGCGCTCTACGCCCGCTTGCCAGTGGAGAGAGGAGACAGAGGTAGAGACACTGACATGTGGGTTCCAATTTTCTTGTTTGAATGACATATGAACCCCCACTTAATAGTTTTCAATTTTGCTCTTTTTGTTTTTTTTCTGTATCCAATTGCCACGTAAGCGTCACGTCAATGCCACGTGAGAAAAAGACCTAGTCAAATAAGCCACATAGGCACCATGTAAGCTAAAACCAGGGACAATACTATAGAGGAATCTCATTTGCACTGGTTTTATAAGTTGGGGGATGGGTTTTTTTGGTTTTGTAAGTTGGAGGATGGGTTGTATCTTGTTTTCCAGTTAAGGAAACAATTCAGACTTTGCGATAACTTGAGGGACCTAAAATGAACTTATTCCTTAGGAAATTAACGGACATAAATTAGGCCTAAAGTCTACTTACAACATGATAAATGAGCCCATTGTTGATCTCAAATAGGCCTGAAATTTAGGACCAACGAAGACTTTAAACGGGTCTAAACCTAGGCCCAGATCTATACAGGAGACAAAATAGGCCCATAGCTGGTAATCGTGGCTCAAACGTAGGCCTGTTAGATGACTATACGCGTGGGCCTCCGTTTGGGCTTTGGAGGAATCTTACGGGCCTACAAGTGGGCCGTCAGTTGACGTATGACATGTATTTGCTCCATCTTGTTGCAATCTATGCATGTGCAAAAGGTTGGTTTATGCGTACAAACTAAGCGGTCATTAGAAAGCGAATGATGCTTTGATTAAAGAACCCATTATGCGTTGACTTCTCTCTCTTGAAAATGGAAGGGGTCCAGTACGGATTCTGATAGCATAATCCCCGTTTATCTTCTATGTTAAGCATGAACCAGCTAAAGCAATCTGTACTTCGGTAGCATTGGTCAAGCGAAGACCTAGCCGTAAGTTACAAGCACAAAAATGAGTCCAAGAATACAACTGAAAAAATTTCATCAATTCTCTTAGTAATCAAACGATATCTTACGAAGATCGCCAAATTTCAAATCCTGTGTTCCAAAATCGGCCTAAATAAGAAGGTTAAGCCACCACTTTGTAGCTGAGCTACTTAGAGTCGTTTATGCCACACCAACTGCTAATGGAATGCCTAATGATGCTCCATGATCTTCAATGCATGGTTGGTCGATCGGTAGTACTACTACCAAACTGTAGTAGTACATAGCTTAGGTGCTAGACTGCTAGTACTACTAATTAACATGAAAATTAACAACAAATAGATTCAAAGCTGCCCTGATTCCAAACAATAGAAACCCTCTCCCTGTTCCCTTTTTAGTTCTTTTGGCTTCTCCTTTTGGATTCTAATGGAGCTCCAGATCAGATGCAAATTAGTTTATCTCGCATGAATTCATCAGTGTCCAGCTGAAATGGGACTCTGCTTAGCTAAGCAAGAAACTTCTGGCTTGATTGCATGTATTCTTGTCACAAGAAGATGCATGGAATTTCAGAGTAAATAAATAGATAGATACAAGAGCTGCATTGGAACAAGGCATGTTGCCATGCTTCACCTTCCCGAAAAACATGTGCCAGATTATTAAAAGGCAACTCATTGCAGGTCTAAGTCACACCGACACACAACATGTGTCACCCAATGTATGCTACTACCTAAACTCAAATGCTGAACCTGAATGAGATGTGTTTCACAGGGAACGAAATGTAGCCATCAGCAAATGCTAATCAACCTTGTTTTGTTTCCAGGACTTCAATCACTGAAGAAGTGAATTACTTTTCAACAGCCTTCAGAAAGTAAGATCTCTGAACTTTTGCAAGTTCACCAGGAGTATCATCAGTGCATCCAGTGTAGTTTTCATCTCATCTCACCATCAGCAACCATCATCGAATTGACTGCGACAAAATCGCCAGTAGCACAACTGACAGTGAAGAAGGTGAAGGATCTCAGATCATTCATACTGAAAGAAAGAATGAAAAACCAGATCTGTTGGTCAAAACCCAATACTTTACATCTGAGCAGCAGCAACTGGTCATCCCAGAAATTTCATCCCAGGGCAGTGTTAGTGGCCTTGGGTGGGTGCTGATTGGCTGGCTGAGCTGTCTCCTCACCATCTTGGAAGATGAAAAATGAATTAAAAGGGAATGGCACCATGGGAGACCTGAAAGTGATGCCCCAACCACTTGGCCATAGCAGTCTCCATAAAGCAAACATCACAACCAGAGTTTCAGAGGAAGCTCACACACCTTTGCCAAGAAGCCTTCTTCTTCTAGCTGCCACTTTCATCTTGCTTCAACATACCACCAATCACCAAGAGATTTGTTCTTTGATCTTTCTCTGCCAGTGCTGACATGGGCAAGGTGTGCTGCACCGAGGAGTCCGAAGAGGAGGCCGCATTCAACCTCATGGGGCTTCTCGTCGCTGCGATCATCGCCTTGGTGCTGATGCTCATCTGCACACCGCCACGGCGGCGCTCAGTCACCATCTACCCTTGCTGCTGAGGTGGAGGAGTACCTGCAGGACTGTGAGTCCTCTGATGGGAGAAGCTTGATTGCTTCTCTGAAGAATCAAAGATGTGCAGGGTGAAGGTTGTTGGAGAAAGCAGGAAGGCAAGGCATTGGCTCCTGATTTTTCAAGTTAAATAATTGCTTAATTGTAATGCATCCTATTGTAAGTCATGTTTATTGGTATAATAGTCTCTTCATCTTTAGCCTGAATTGATAGCTTTGGAAATATATAGATGCTTGTCAAATCTGTTAAATGTATGATATGACTTGCTAACCTCCTACTCTCTCTCTCTCTCTCTCTCTCTCGATTTTGACGTGATCACGACACAGAAGCACAGGAACTGGTTTATCCTCAGATAAAATGTAATTAGCAAAAAAGACAGATTTATTGTTCTTCCCTTGCTGTTAAGTCATTAAGTGTTTCTTTAGTGATCCCCATAAAGGATGCACATTTTTTGTGGCCTAGTGTAACTTCCAATAGAAAAGCACTGAAACAAGTAGGAATATTAAATGGTTTCACTTAGATCCTAAACTTCCGGGCAGATCTCAAAAGTCTACTGTCAGTCTGAACTCTGAACTAACAATTTTTAACTACTTGATTATCTTTTCATCCTTCCAAATATTAACCTATATATATTTTTTAAAAAAGTTATTTCTGAGCTGAAGGAGCATTGTGGAGTTTTGCGGTTCATGATTCTCATTCTTCCGTTAGGTTTTTTTTCTATTGGCAGAATTGCAAGCCTCCAGTGCACTTTATTCCTCTCTCTCTCTTGATGAAAGCATGGCAGAGGAGGCCTCTGCACTTAAGATATCAAAGAACAGAGCAAAATTTTTACAAAGAAGAAGAGGAACAAGATGAGAAAATTAAAACAAAGATAGATAATTAATCAGCTAGAAGTTCTTTCTCTGTTTTTTAGTCGAAGCAAAAGAATATCGAGATCATCCGTAAAAATGTGTCTAGGAATCCAGGCCTCCAGGGTTCTTGCCTCTCTTTCTCTCTGTCCAAAAGTGGATCTTGGCTATGCAGAATGTCACATCGTTCTCATTTTCTTTTTCTCTAAACACTTTAGCCAGAACTACAGACTCAGGAAACTCAAAAGGTATCCACGAAAACCAGCTAAGACATTTTCTCAAGTAGCTTATCGAGTGCAACAATCACTTCATCAACCTGACAACCCATGCTATTCATGGTTCAAACTTCTGCCACGAACTGGATTTTTTTTGAGAGGACGAACTGCTGAAGGTACTGAGTACTTACTGCCTAAACACTTTAGCACATCTTGATAGGGATAGCCTGATGTAACCGTCTTTACAGACAGGGTTATAGTGTGGGTTGTCAATGTCACGAGATAAACTAATAAAATCTTACAAAATTTGTTATGTCACATCGGTGTAAGAAACTAGGGCTATGAAACTGCTTTGACGACAAATATAACAGGCTAACCATTTATCTAGGTTGCTTTCACTTTTGGTCATCGAGTTATCCAGTTTGGATTATATAATTTAGAGAAAAGAAAACAACAGTGCTACTTATTTTGCATTATAACATGGTCAATACTTGAGGAAGCAGTATGGCACTATAAAGTATTTCTAATTTACACAGCACAATACTTTTATTATATATGAGCTATCAAGGAACAGTTACAATCCTAGATGGTTTCAAACTTCCATCCTTATCTATGATCCCATTTACATGAAGAGTGCCACAAAAGCATCAACATCAAAACAGAAGAGGGTAAACATATTTACAAAAACGCACAGCTGGTCAAGTTGATAGGGCTTGCATGCTTTTAGTTTACTTATTTATGTCCACCAAACTGACCTGGAGGCGAAATACCTCATGAACAGCACCACGCTTAAGAATGGCTAGAATTGTTGCCCCCTCTGACATGGTGAGCTCACTCAATGAAATTTCATGAGACTCGGATTCATCAGGCAACCGGAAACCGTAGAACCATCTACCAAGCTTGTATAAGCTCACACACACTTTCCTTTCCTCCACTTTCCGAGCTTGAAGTGCTTTATACACTTCATTTGGCTGAAACAAAGTACATTAAACTTTGAATAAGAATTTTATGACGAAACCAAAAGTTGGTTAGACAAATTCAAGCCAAAACATCTGCCATCTGCCAAAACAAATATTTCGACAGCTTGACAAACTCATTTATCTAGAGATTTCTGATGATGGCAATGCTTTATGTTTTGGGAATTTGGGATAGTGTGTTGCATCATAAACAATACAAAGAATGTAGCTGGTATGGTTTCCACCGTATAATTTTTCCTGGCTGTGTGATGTTTATAATGTCTGCTAATTACTCATGAGGGTGTGCAAAGAACACTAATCAGCATATGAGGTGCTTTAAGAACATATAAGTTGCTGGAACAATCTTGATGTAGTGCAATACGGTGAGCGACTCTGGATCTACGTACTGTTGACTTTCAGGAGAAAGTGTAAGATCATCGAGTTGGGGATAAAACAAAAATCCGTTTGTTGCAAAGCATAATGGCACACATTAGCTTCAAATCATGATCATCATACCACAAGAAAAACTAAACAAGAACATCAGGAAGGTGTAACTCACCGGTATATTTAGTGATGAAATTGAGTAGTGCAATCCAATTAGATTCATGATTGCACTGTAATTCCTTGACAACAAAAAGAACTGGGCATCAATAAAACCTATATCCCTCATCGAGGCCAAATTAGCAATAGCTTTCAGATAGTATTCAGCTTCAAGTGACCCATTACGCAAATTATTCTCCACAAATTCAGCCACACCAGATATAGCAACAGCAGTTCTTCTATGATGGTTAATGTATAGAGCTTTCCAACCCTACAAAACGAGTAATACTCACACATAAGATTGGTAGTCATGTTCTAGGCATTAACAGAACATATGAGTGGCTACAAAAACACAGGAAGGACACAATAGCTCTTCAAGTGTAAGGTTCCTTCTATACTAAACTTTGAAAAGAAACAGAATCCAGATGAACCCTTTAAACATGATAATCCCTTAAAAACAAACCATAGTCTTGGAAGTAAAGCCACCACCATTCTTATTGTACAGTCTAGGGGTATGATCAACTAAAGAGACTTCCTTAAACTTCTAAAACTGAAAAGGAACCAATTAGGTCTTCTCTATTTTCTTGGCTAAGTGACAAGCAAAAGAGACCACTCAAAAGTCAACGGTAAAGAAACTAGGAAGGCCAATTGGTTAGACTCAAAAGCTAAGCCTTATACACCATCGTGCTTAATCTCAGTTGTAACGAATTTATGAAAAAGAAAAGCTTAAACCCCCTCGAAGAAAGGCTAAGACTTAAATTAACTGCGAGTTATGAACCAATTTTGTCCTCCTGCCTAATGGATATTAATAGGAAGTTAGGTACTGATGTCTCGTCATAATAATAATATCATCACGTACTCGTAGCACACAAGAACAGTTGGGAATATTTCATAATCACATCACTCGCACTGGAACAGGTTGCTGGGATGCTTCATGCTTGAGGGGTACCAGCTCATCTTGTAGTAGACTAGCTAAAGGTATTTCCTCTCTAATCCTTACAAGATCATAGTACAATTAAAATAAACTACTTGTGTACTTCAGCAGGAAATTGAAGATACTAATAGCCTTTTAAACACACACCCACGATATGCATCAAAACAAACAAAATCCCAGAAAAGCAAGCAAAAAGGCCAATCTTTCAAAGCAAATTTCGTACTTATTCAGTATTGTCATTCACTTTAAATCACAGAGATATGCCAATCGAACAGTAAATTTAAGGGGGCAAAAAAAAAACAAAGTGGGGATAAATAGATAAGACATGATTGCTTTCTTTTTGGCCTACTAGCAACCCATCTTGCAGTAGAATAGCTAAAGGTATCTTCCCCTCTAATCCCTAAAGATCATAGTACAACTAAAACAATTATTACTTCTGTGCTTCAACAGTAAACTCAATATAATTAGCTTTTCAACCACACACTCCCACGATATTACATAGCACAACAAACAAAATTCCAGAAAAAGGAAAAAAAATATGTTGTCGCTAGAACAGTGAATTTGAGGGGAAAATTGAAACGAACAAGGAACGATTGCCCTATCTACCCACCTGGACACCAGAAGCCCCTTCCCCTTCCCCTCCTCCTCCTCCCCCTGCCGCGGCGGCGAGCGGCCAGCGGCGGCGGAAGAGGGCCTCCCACACGCAGTCGGCGTCGCAGGCGCGGCGCCACGATCGCGAGCAGCCGCCGAGCGCGCACACGTCGGCCTCCTGCGCCCACGGCTCGAGCCCCAGTTCGGGTCAAAAGGGTCGAATCATACATATATACTTCTGCCAGGGTAAAGAAAGGGAGAGGGAGGGAGGGAGGCGCACTTGGAGGCGAGAAGCTACGGAGATGGCGATGTCCCCGGGGAGGTCGGCCCACCTCCCCTCCGGCGCCGGCGCCGGCGACGGCGGCGAGAGCTCCATGTCGGTGACGTCTCGCTCCTCTTTCTTTGTTTTTTTTTTTTTGGACACACTCCTCTTTCTCTTTTCGGCTAAAAATGTGCAGGTGAAACTTTCATTAGTCTTAACTGCAGTTAAGGTGGACAAACTCTAGTTTGCTTTCCATGGGCTAAAACCAGAAAGACCGACTGTAATCAGCGGCTGCTCATTCAAACTTTCAAAAATTCCGTCACATCGAAATATTTGAATACATACATAAAACATTAAATGTAAACGAAAAAAAATCAATTACACAGTTTGCATATAAATTACAAGACGATCTTTTAAACCTAATTACGGTATAATTTGACAATGCGATGATACAGTAAATATTTATTAATGATATTTAATTAGGCTTAATATATTCGTCTCGTAGTTTACAGGCGGAATATACTTTTAAAAAAAATTGGACAGCGAACTAAACATGGCCAGTATCTATATATTAGTTTGGATTTATTTTATCTATATAGTATCATATGATCTTCGGGATACCATCGGATTTTAGAAAATACATATTTTATATAAAATATATAATATTATACAAATTAAAACCTATAATATTGATTTCGATAAATTCAATTGGATTTCATGTATATTTATTCACATTATTTTCAATCCATCTTATTTTAGTTAATACTGTGTAGGATCGGAAAATGTGAAACGAATAGTAAGATCGAGATATTATGAATAAAATTATTATATTATGTGGAATCGGTATCATTTTATCTTGATAGGATCGTAGTATCGTAAAATACTAGGATACGGATTGGGATACTGATAATCTTGCTCTAGACCCCGAAAATACCTTTTAGAATGAGGTTATGACTTAACTATGAGGGTGACTGAAAACGATTACTAGTTGATCCAACGGAATATTTTTATGCGTATGATGTTAATACAGTACCTTAGAGATCACTAAGAATATTAGACACGATTCTGTAAGTACCATAATCTAGTACCTATGTATAATGACGTTATGATAATGTCAAATATAAAGTATACGGTTGCAACGTTATAGCGTTCCTTTAAGTCTTCCAGTGTTAAAATTCATTTTCCCTTACACATTTAAACATATATAGTTCATATCAGTTATTTTTTGAACTACCAAAATAGAAATAAACTAAAACTATGATAAACAATAGATGATTTGATTTGATTTAGTTTTCATGCTATGAGCTCTTTAAGAAAAGAATGAATCTATTCTATGTTAATAACATTGCTAGAGTTTAATGATTTGCCATCGACTTTATCTTTATCTATAACATGTCATTAACTTTATCAGTTGTCGTTTCTACGATATCATTAGACTGGATAATTTTTTTTAAAAAAAACCTATAATGCCCTCCAAGATATAAAGGGTTGACAATTTATTGACCCTTGGAAGTTTTGGAAAAATATAAAAATTTATGTGTAGCATTCTTCCTCAATATAGAAATTATGTATATTTCAACCCTTTTTTCTATGTTTTTATTTTTTTCAGATTATTTTTGTGTAGCATGTGAAAGAGAAATCGCTTACACTAAACTATAAAAGATGGCCACAGGTGATAAACGGTCCTATCTTTTTCTTATACTTATACTTATCAGTCAAAATTTAAATTTTCAATTTTAAATTTATAGTTAATTTTGGAGTTTTTTCATTGTAGTTTATTTTTCAGCTTTTGTTTTTAGATCATTACAAACACATATATAAAAATTGTATTCACAAATTATTTTTCATTTGCAAATATGCCATTTCACATTTTCCTCCAAACAACCAAACGATGGGGCTGAAAGAATAAAATAGCATGAGTAATTTTTTTTTGTAAAATATTGTGTAAAATCGTACATTTACAATTTACACGTGCATAAAACTTCGTAAAAGATTGACGTGGTACGTAAAATATTGATGATTTCTTAGAATCTTGGGCTTTTTTGGATCCAAGGGGCTAAAATTTAGCCCTAGAGAATCTTACCATTTAGGATTAGTAAAAAAAAATACCCGTGCGTTGCAACGGGTGAAGTCTATTTTAATCTTATTATTGTATATGTTTTAGTTAAGATGAAATACACTGTGGAAGTTCGCTTGGATATACTTCCTCCGTCCTATAATATAAGAGATTTTGAGTTCGCTTGGAGTATATATTTTTAGAAAATTATGAGGTGCAGTTAGGAGTCTGATCGTCTCAAGTTAGCATGTGAGTTCTTTTAAACATATCTCTTATATGATTCATTTTGTATTATTAAAAGTGAACGATTTTATTTTTTGCCGGGTCGGCCAAAGGATAGCCGACCAATTTCATTAAGATTTGGGGGAAAATACAGTAAAATGTTACAACGACATTACTATGCCGCGGTAGCCAGTGAAGGACCCCATCCAACCAAGAACGAGAAAAGAAAGCAGGGCTAAACCCCGTAGGCAGTCATGGTGATTACTCGTGTAATTGGGAGAAAATCCCAGCCACCCTCTAGACAGCAATTTCCTCTTTAATATCCTCCGCAAGTTGATCCGGTGTCTTGGACACGTGTTGAAAAAGTCTTGCATTATTACGCTCCTTCCAAATCAACCAACAAATTAGCATGAATGCACTGTCAAAATCCGTCCTGTAGCTTATCCGGAAACAGCGTCTTGTTGCCAACCACCAGTCAGCCAGTGTGTTCTCCTCATCTGCCGCAATTGGGAAGCTAGCATTGCACCATCTTCTGATAATTCTCCACACCGCCGCCGTGAAGTCGCAACCAACAAACAGGTGGTGATAGTCCTCGTCGGATATGAGGTGAACGATCTTAAAAACCGACTCAAATACATATATGTACTTTCAAAAGCAAACGAAGTTAAAAACTGGCTCGTATCATTGTAGCAAATCATGGATTAATTAGGCTCGTAGATTCGTCTCACAAATCAACCTAGAGGTTATAAAATAGGATAATTTTGTTTTTACCTCTACTTTTCGTTTTTACGTTTACCCCTATTTTTAACGGAAGTTAGCCGACCTGGGATTATGGAGCTAAAACGTAGAGAGAAAAAGAAATAGTGATTTTTAAATTCGTTGATGGACCTTTGTACCCCTGGTGAGCCATAACCAAACAATGCCGTCCTTCTTGCCATCCCCAATCCAACCTATGGTGGCGAGCAGAAGGCCGCGCGTATCGAGGCAGGCCAGGCGACGGCGGCTCGACGAGGGGACGAGACGAAGGTGGGCTCTTGTCCAGGCGGTAGCGGCTTGACGCGAGGAGCAAGCGACGGCGGCGTCTCGGCTAGGCATCGGCGGCTTAATGCGGGAAGGCGGCGATGGCAGTGGCCCGGCCAAGCGGTGGCGGCGAGCACGCCAAGCAGCAGGCCTTGCGCAGCGAGCAGTTATCAGGGGCACTGCAAACTGATGACAAGCAGGGCACGACGGAGGTGCACGCTGCGGCAAGCAGCATCAACCTGGCTCGGCTGTAAACAGGCGATAGGGAGGAGCGACATGCTACTGGACTGTATTTGCTTGATTTCATGATTTGGATTTGCTTGATTTTGTGTGATTTTGTGATGGTTGCTACACGTATTTTGTTAGCTGTGTAAAAACCTTGCCAAAATTGTGCCCAAATTCTGTCTTTTTTTTTCTTCAAAATACCCAAATTTTATCAAATTTGTGGTAAAATTATATCAAAATTTTAATATTCTATCAAAATTATCATATTTGTAAAAGTTTATCAAAATACAAGCTGCATGTAAAAATGGGGGCATATACACAGTTATTGAATAAACATTCAGGCAAATATGCAATATCAAATAAGGGTATGATTGTCTTTTCACCAAAGATTTAACACTGTCAACTTGTCCATCCAAAGTAGGGGTAGAGTTTGCTTTCATTTCAAAAAAGTAGGGGCAAAAACGAAAACCCTAAAAAATAGAGGTAAAATAACCATTGAATATCAAAGTAGGGTAAAAACGAAATTGCCCCTTATAAAATAGGTTTTGTCAGTCCTAAATAGCAAGATTCGATCCAAACAGGGCCCTCGTAGGCCTGAAGCCGCAGCCGCCGCCGGCTGGAGGAAACGGAGCTTCGTCCTGTCGGAATAAGTTCACTTTGTGACCCTCAAAAATGATCGAAATATAATTCGTAACCCTAAACCACAAAACCGGATATCTCGACCCCTGAACTCTTAAAACCGGTGCAATTTGACTCCCTAGGTGGTTTTGGAGGGCGGTTTTGCTGACGTGGCGCCTACGTGGCGGTATTGACCGGGTCTCCTTTATACGTGGCGTTGACGTGGCGTTTAGGTGGCCTTTAGATTAAAAAATATATGTGGGACCCATTTGTCATCGACACATAAAAGAAATTGTGGGACCCACATACATGTGGAGCCCACAATCATCCTCTCCCCTTCTTCCTCCTCCCTCTCTCTCCATTCTCTCACCGCGGTCGGGTTCATCCGGGGGCGGCGGCGGGCGGGAGGGCGTTGGAATCACCTCCTGCTCGTGGTTCTTCGCAAACGCCTCCAGGTCGGCGCAGAGCTCGGTGGTATCTCAGCCGTAGTAGCCGGGGAACTCACCGGAGAGCGGGCGGAGGTAGATGACGCGGTCGGGGCCGTACGACGGGTTGCCGGGGAACTCCATGACGGCATCGACTCCAACCGCGTAAGCGTTGCCCTTGAGACAGGCGGTCTCATCAGCGCCGTGACGATGGCCGTGAGCAGGAGGGTGAGGCAGAGATGTGGTCCTTACTGCTCGCTGCTCGACATGGGTCCTCCCTCTCATCCATTTTTTTTTCGTGGTGGTGGCGGCGGCGGAGTTGTGGTGCTTCTTGATATGTGCATATGCACGTATGCATGCCAATTTGTTTGCTTGTTGCTGAATTGAGCAGCTTGAGATTGTGATGGCTCTGTTCGACAGGGATGCAAAGTGACGAGTAGATATTGCGTGTGCCGAAGATGGGTGTGCACAGTGGGTTGGCATCGTCCGGGACACGAGGCTATACCGCCCACCTCCGCCGCCGCTCCCGTAGACGCCGCTACCGCTCGAGCTACGCGGATTCAACCGGTGCGGCGACGAGGTGCGGCTGCGTGCCCTTAGTACGATTCCGGCGAGGCGACCGTCGAGGGAGATGGGGCTGTCCCATCGCGTGGGGGCGCTGCTAGATGCCGCGGCCAACGGTGGTGCGCGGCTTTCTGTCGTGGCCCAGCTCCCTTGCTGCTGTCGCCTGTTGCCGCCCGCCGCCGTCGCCGCTCCAGTGCCTGCCGCCGCCACTCCCGCGTCTCCGTCGCTCGCAGGCCGCCGCGCCACACCTGCGCCTCCGCCGCTCGCCACGCGTGGGTCGCCATCGGCGAGAAGGCCGTGGAGCTCAGCCCGAGTGCCGCCGCCGTCGTCGCTCCAGTGCCTGCCGCCACCACTCCCGCATCTCCGCCGCTCGATCGCCGCCGCTCCGGCCCTCGCCACCCGTCGCGGGAGAGAGAGGGGGAGTGGCAAGGAGGGAGAAGAAACTGGAGGGAGGGGGGAGAGAGAAGGGACACGTGGGTCCCACAATTTCTTTTATGTGTCAATGACAAATGGGTCCCACACATATTTTTTAAGTTCTAAATGCCACCTAAACGTCACGTCAACGCCACATGTAAAGGAGACCAGGTCAATAGCGCCATGTAGACGCCACGTCAGCAAAGCCGCCCTTCAAAACTGCCTAGGGAGTCAAATTGCACCGGTTTTAAGAGTTTGAGGGTCGAGATACCCGGTTTTGTGGTCTAGGGTCACGGATTAAGGGTCACAAAGTGAACTTATTCCTCGTCTCGAACACTGGGAGGAAACCCGGCCCACAAACCTAATGATGCCAATTTGTAGGCCCGTCCCGGCCCGGCCCACTTGCAGTCTGACACCTACTTGCCTTTGCCTTAATCCTCCTCTCTCTCTCTCTCTCTGTAGTTTTCCCCTTTGGTTTTGCTCTGCCGTACGCCTCTCCAACTCGAATCATCCCATCTGTCGGTGATTTCCGTCCAATCTTTGATCGGATTCCGGGGGCCCTCATCATCGTCGAGCTCTTCGGTCGTTCGATCGGGCGCGCGAAATTCTTCCGGCGCTGATTTTGACGGCTCCGGCCGCCGGCGGCGGTTGGTTGGTTGGTTCTTGGCCCGGATTTTCGGGGAGATTTGAGGGGGCAGGTTTCTCCTCGCCCCGCGGTGGCTGTGTGGGTTCTTGGATTCGTTGTTTGGTGACTGTTTAAGCGGGGATGGAGCGGCGGAGATGGCTGCAGGCCGCGGTTCTGTGTTGCCTGCTGGTGCTTTGCTCCGGGAGAGGTTAGGTTCTATCAGCTACTTGTGTTCTTGCTGTGATATGATTGATTTGGGATAGTTTCTGATAATTAGTTCAGCAAGATTCGCTTTAGGGGAGTGCGGATGTTATTACTGTGCATAAACATAAACCCATTTAGCTCTAGAAGATCGCTGTTCATTAGTAGTTGCAATTTGTGTAAAGCTAGTAATTGCTTATTTTGATCATACAATTGATTAGCTCTATCTAGATGAACAATGTTCATTAGCAGTTTGAAGATGCGTCGTCCATACGTTGATCATACAATTGCACAGATTCTTGGTCTGTCCTGTCCTGATGTTGGTTCTGATTTCATGATGTAGAACTTAAGACTAAACACACCCCAATATACAACTCGACCTTAGCCAGGACGCTTGCGGAATATACATCAGCAGTAAGTTCATTTGCTGTTTGATCTCTAGCATCGTCCACTTTGGATTTTTTTAATACATAATTACATATTAGTGAATACCTAGGGTGTCTAGTGTAATATGGAGTTGTTGAATCTGGTGTCATTGTACAGGTTTATACAGCTGACTTGACACAACTCTTTTCGTGGACCTGTGAAAGGTGTTGTGACTTAACAGAGGTAGCATGATCATCTCATTAAAGTTTAGTCAACTTCATCTCATTATATGTAGCTTGGTATGACTGATTGATATTTTTTTTATGACTCAGGGGTTTGAGGTAATAGAACTGATCGTCGATGTGAAAAATTGCTTGCAGGTTATTTCCTCTACCTTCAGCTATTCTTTGCCTGGATTTCTGTAATAGACTATTCATTAGCATTGATGGTAGTAGTTTTGATGAATCAGGCATATGTTGGTTATGCTAGTGATATGAATGCTGTCGTAGTTGTGTTCAGAGGCACTCAAGAGACCAGGTACATTGCATATCACTTCATGATAAGTGTTTACTTTTTTTCAAAGTACTAAGATTGTCAGTTTGTTTTAAAAGCATTCTTGAAGTTCATGTTCTTCACAGAATTTTATTTTCTGTTCAATATTATTAATGCGTCAAATATTTCAAATTGATACATGATGGCTTGACTCCCTATAAACAAATAAATGTGACACTGTTGAAATCTTGATACTTTTATGTTAAGTAACACTACCCATTCTATATCTCAGCATTCAGAATTGGATAGAGGACTTGTTTTGGAAACAACTTGATCTGGACTACCCAGGCATGCCTCAAGCAAAGGTGAACATGCTAATGCATCTATGATTCTATGATAAAAACCCTCTTCTGAGCACCATTAGTATTGATGGTCTATCTGTTTATAGGTCCACAGTGGGTTTTATTCTGCATACCATAACACGACATTGCGCGATGGTGTTGTCAATGGCATTAAGAAAACTAGGGAAGCATATGGTAATATTCCCATCATGGTAACTGGGCATTCGATGGGAGGAGCTATGGCTTCGTTTTGTGCGCTTGACCTTGTGGTGAGTATTGAATTTTGTTTAAATAAGATATTTAATTTTGAGCTTCTTTATGAAGTTCTTTCTTTTGAAATTATTGTCTATGAAGTTATCTGCTCTGTGAAGCATTATAAGCTGAACAGAGTAGAGCAGGTTACATCTTTTAGGGGCTGAATTCCTCTTCAGATGTTACTCCTGACAGATTCTCAACGCCTAAATTCTCATGGCGTCAGATTTCTAACATCAGAGAAAGCAATGACAGACAATTAATTCCACTGTTCTCAAATTAAAGTTACTCTCTAGACTTTACTGGTTAATATTGCTAATATCGATTGCAATGAATAAACTCTTTACATTTATGAATTGAATATTTCGAACATTCGTTTGGTAGTTCCTAGGACTAGCAGCATAGGCTAAGAACTTCATTCACACCATATTGTTCTAAGCTGCTTCTTATATGACCAATTATGTGGGGTCATATTTTTGTGTTGATGCAATGTGATACATACCAGTTGCTTCAAGCATATGACGTATAACTCTTTTGTTAGGTTATTGTAGATTTATTTTCCTCTTTCTTGAATCATCTCGTTTTTTAGCCATATGAGATGAAGAAAATTTACTTCATCCGCTTCTGGTTCAGCCAGCATGTTAACACATATTTATTTGTTTTTATAGGTCAACTACAGGTTAAAGGATGTGACACTGATAACATTTGGACAACCTCGGATTGGAAATGCTGTGTTTGCTTCACATTTTAAGTGTCATTTGCCAAATGCGATTCGAGTGACTAATGCGCACGATATTGTTCCTCATTTACCCCCATACTACCACTACTTCCCACAGAAAACCTATCATCATTTCCCACGAGAGGTATGTTCTTGCCCATTGACATGCACCTTTGCTGACAGAGAAATCGAGTATTATTCTTGATGCATTAGAGATGTGACTAAAGTCGGTTCTCTTTTATCTGTCTCTCTTAGGTATGGGTTCATAATGTTGGACTTGGAAGCCTAGTCTATTCAATAGAGCAAATTTGTGATGACTCTGGAGAAGACCCAACTTGCAGCAGGTTCGTCTTGCTCACGCATATGAATCTTGTTTGAACTTTAAACTCCTTATGACTTTGTTGTACCTTTTATCGTTTTATACCCAGGTCTGTGAGTGGAAACAGTGTGCAAGACCATATAAACTACCTTGGCATCAGCATGCATGCCGAGGCATCGGGATCTTGCAGAATTGTCACAGGTGACAATAAACTGCAGTATAAGATGGACAGCGATGGCAACATTGTTTTCTCGAAGCAACCTGGTTTATCAGTTGATCAGTTGCATAGTTCACAGTGAGCAAACTCATGATGACAGGAATCTTCCATGCCCTCTATGTAACTGTATGATCACACCACAGGAGGATATTGGAAGAACAAATTTGTGTATAGTTCTTTGTACAGCATGTAAAGCATTATAGATACTGTACGAACGTGCTCTTGGCTGGACTAATTTATCATGAGAATGTCATGCAAAAGCTTTTCCAAGCAGAACCATGCCAATTATCATGTTCTTATTTCTGTGTATTTTTAGGCATGGCATTGGCAGCTGATTCTCATTGTGTTGCACCATGCATACTTGCCTTTCACCTTCAATTCAAGGTTCAGCTTTCATCCTCAATTGAAGTTTTCCTCGGTTGGTTGTTGCTCAGTTCTTGGCCCATTCATACTAGTGGTGGTGTATAAGACAGAACATCCAAGTTCTTTCACACATTAATTTACACCATCCAGGTTTTTTTTTTAAAAAAAAACTCATCAACTTGAATCCAAATCCTACTAGAAAGTGGATAGACAATGACAATAAGTAAGGCACCTGTTAAAGCTAAAAACATAAAACCACAATATGGCCAACTAGTATAATTATTCCCCAACAAAAAAGCCTTAATTTCAAAAAAAGAAGAAAAAACTGGATTTTTATTCCATTTTACATGAAAGACACAGAGGACTACGCCCTGGTAACCCACGACTCTACCACCACACCCAGTCCTTTCCTGATATCGTCAAATTCTCTTCAGCTTAATTTGGGCACCGTGCTGTGGACGGAGAGTTAACACTATATAGGGTGCGTGGATGTAGGACGGCGAAAGTTCCAATGAGAATCGCTGGAGGATCATGCTGAGAGCCATCTTGGCTTCCAGAAGTGCGAAGCTCTGGCCAATGCAGATACGAGGACCCCATCCAAATGGGAAGAAAGAGGCATCATGATACTTGCTTGCATTGGAGATGCCATCAGCAAACCTACCTGGATTGAATTCACTTGCATCCTTGCCCCAAATTTCAGGATCATGGTGAATAAACAGAATGGGCAGTATGAGGTTCATATCAGCTGGAAATTTGATGCCACCGAGATTCGTTTCCTTGAATGTTCGCCTGTTCAGAAGCACCACTGGAGGGTACAACCTAAGAACCTCATATAGAATCATTGTTACCTGGAGAAACAACAAAGCAGGGGTCAAGATCATTGCCCCTAATATATACCCTTGCTTAATTCCCATAAACCCTTTGTTGATATGTATATTCAATCCAACCCTCGATTATATTGCCGATGATAGCTGATAAAGTTTTAACATGATTAGCACTTAGAATCTAAAATGTAAATCTGTGCAGTGTTCATGAGGTGCAGAATTATCTATCTGTATCCTCAAAACAACAAAGCCATTTATTTCCATATGAACTGTAAGCAAGGGCTTATTAACTATTATAGCTAGTATAGTAGATTAGTAGTATCTGAACATTGTGGAAAAGAAAGCATTCTAAAAACATTTGGAAGAATGCATGGTATAAGCAACCATTATGTTTGGTCAAAATTGTAACTGATCAAGCAATGGCATGCCAAAATCACAGTAAAAATTAGCCTGTGTCCTCTCAGTAGACTGCATTTTTGCTTTTTGCATATATTGAGAAAAATAACAGGAGAGTTGATGCCGTTGATCTCATACTTACAATCTTCAGGCGACTCAAGCTATCATAGTCTGGTGTGGTGGTCCTTCCAAAGTGGTGTAACACTTCTTCTCTTGCCCTCTCTTGCCACTCTGGGTGCATGCTTAGCACAATCAACGTCCAGGTGAGCAACACCGATGTTGTCTCCATTCCTGCGAAGTAGAATAGCTTGCATTCCTCAATAATATCATCTGTACTCATTCTTAGTTCTGGTTGCTTCGTGTTTGATTCCACCAACAATCCCAGCATGTCGTCGTTGCTGTTTTCGCCATTTGTAATAGCCCTCTCTTTGTTTCCAATTATTTCAAGCAGAATTTTGCGGACCTCTCGATCGATTTCTCTCATCCTTCTGTTGTTTTTAGTTGGCAAGTACCTGTAAATTTTTCAATGTCATATCAAAACAAATTCTTGCTTGCTAGTCTGTGCATTAAGAATTTTGTTACCATCATTCAAGATTTACTATTAATTATACCTTCAGAGGTACCAAGGTATACTTAGCCGGTGTTTTGGTATCACCTAAGTTATCGATACTTATTGGTAACTTTCCAATGACTTCAAAAATACTATATATTTGTCAAGGAAACGAAAAGTTGTATTCTGTTTTCATCTTTAGATTTCTTCAATTAACTAAAACCTTTCCCAGGCTGCCAAAATTCTATTGGAAACAAAAGATCAGTCATGGATTTATTTGTTTGAGTTTGACATATATAACTTTGATGCCTCACTAGTAGTACTGTCCCACATGTCAGCTGGTGATGAATGCTATATATTATGAATGATTTAATAACCATATTATCAATTTCATTTGTAGCTAACAACATGGTGAATGTAATGTCTACTTTAATCAACAAATGAGTCCTGTGCTGCAACTTCAATTTCACAGTCAGTGCAGCATTTTTAGTATGGTTTCAACTATATTATACCACATTCACATGAATATTTACTAGAGATATTTAAATATGCAAGTTCAAATTATTTCTTTTTGAACAGACCAATAGCCTGGTATAAAAAGTTTCTGAAGGGCTTCTGTTAAATATTGAGCCAGCTCTTCTTGCAGCTGAAAAATTCTCCTCCCTTCTTGATAACTGCTACCAAATGCTGTTCTTGAGATCACATCTCCTGTAAGATTTCGGAATTCAGGCCAGACATCTATCTCAGATGCCGCTTCAAGAGAAATTGAATTCTCCCATCTAGTAACCATTTCGGTGCAGCAGTTGGCAAAAACTGGCAGCATCCTCTGTGAAGGAGAAAACATCATTGTTAATCAAGTTTTTGTGCATGAACCAAATAAGGAGAATATGGAATGCTGCAATTAGAAACGAGAAAACCAAAGCCATGGACAAATTAATTTCCATTGAATTTATTTTTAGTTAATGAACTTTTTATTGAACTCAATCAATCAAATTAAAGTGATACAGCTGCATTGAGAATACTACCGGCCTTTGCATAGCCATGGACAAATTTCTGTTGAAATTATTACCTTTATTTTCTCATGGTGGAAGGCATGGTTTAGAATTCTCCGGTGCTTAGCCCATTTCTCGCCTTCGTAGCTCACAACTCCTGTCGCTAGCAACTTTCCGACACGGATCATCTTTGGTTTGCCAAATTGGTCAAACTTATTGAAAACCTCTCTTACTAATTCAGGGTCGGGAATCATCACTCTTGGCACTGGACCAAACCAAATGAATGACAGTTTACCTGCATTTATGTGATATCCGTAGATTATATAAGTTGTTAGAGGGGAAGAGTGACTGTAAAACTACACCCAATTTATTGTTGGTGATTATCATTTTTTAAGATAATGGAATAGAATTCTGGCCTTTGCTCAACGAGCTACAACCAATTATTACATAAATTTGCGCTAGACAAACGCACATGAACAAGTCTTAACAAGCACACCGAAAATAACTAAAACAACCACAAGCTAATAAAAGCCTACAAAACATAAAGACTCGTTGATTATTAAATTCTATTTCTAAACCTCCAACCATAATTGGCGAAAAACTGCATGACCATTGTCTCATGAATACGACATGCAGTTTTTATTAGCTTGATGTCCTCATCACACTTTTGTAGCTGAGCGGCACGATCTACAAACAACAATAGAGAGAGCAGTGAACTGAACATCGCACTAGAATAGCGAACTTAACTTAATTAAGCACAATACTATATGTCGATTGGTCGTTGCATTTAACCTATATTGACTAAGCGGTATGGAAGCGGTACCAACCCTAGACTTCCCCAAATCAATGAAGGAGTTCATTCAGCACTGAGTCGAGTGAGCCCTCATCCCGAGGGGGACATAATTCTCTTAATGAACTACTTATTAACATAAAATAAAAAGTCTCGCAGGAGCAAAAAGAGTGAAATGAGGACGTAAGCCCCCTAGGTCTTCCTCTTCCTTCTAAACTAATTGCTTTCGTTTAACTCTTCCCGTAAAAAAATATACTGAGTGGTTGAAGGAAAGCGAAAAGGAATGGCTTTTTTATGTACCAGATCCGGTGAGCCAGACATCAAGCAAAAATGGAACATATAGTCAAAGAGTAAGGAGAAGTTATTTGCAATGATGGGTGGATTGGTCGGAGCCCCAGAATCAGAGCTAGTACGTTACCCTGAAGAGAACCTGTAGTCTTCTGATTATCCAGGTTCCTCTCAGCTTTCATCTTCTCAGCCCTTTGTAAAATTGGCTGATCACTATCACTTGCCCTCCTCTTGCTCTGTCTGGATGGAGATATATAGTAACGCCTCTGGAACAACAGTTAGTTTGATTGCTAGACTGTCCTGGGACTGAACTGACTCCACTAAACCATCATACTCCTCATCAGACAATGTCAATCCATTTGACTCAGGCACCACCATCACCTGAGTAGATGGAGCAGAAGTACCACCTTTCTCCGGTATGAAACCACTAGACTGCATGCACTCAAATTCAAATTGGGAATGGAAGGAAAACAATCTTTTGGAAGGACAACTGGCTCAATGGGTTGTGTCCGAAGGACATAGCTCCAAACCTCTTTAAGCTGGCAAAGAGTAAGAACTGAAACGTTGGCACTGAGCTCGCAAATGATGGATGGATTCACTCTTTAAGACAAATTTGAAACTTTGAAGAGATCCAGGAGCTCATTCACCTAGGAGGACTCTTGAGTCAAGTTACTTTGCTAAATGGAACGGAAGACACAATTTCATGGAAGAGGAATAATGGGGCCATATATTCGGCTAAAAGTGCCTATCTCTTTCGATTCATAGGTTCACAACAGGACAATGTTTTCCTGTTGAACTGGAAGGCGTCGACGCTTCGAAAACAAAAATTCCTAGGCTAGCTCATTCTACACCACAAAGTTTTAACAACCGAAAACATCCTAATTCGACATTGGGAGTGCGACTGGATTTGCCCTTTATGCAGAGGTGCTTTTGAGGATACAGACCACTTGTTTCAACAATGCAATTTCTTTAAAGAAACGTGGAATCCTGTCTCTGCTGCCCAAGGTATTCAAAAATACCCAGACTCACTACTCCCTAATAGAATGGATGAGGTATATCATGCAGAATGAAAGCAAGACGGAAGCAAAGAGAAAGGCGGGAACTCTAGTGAAGACGTGGTGGCATATTTGGCTCCAAAGGAATGCAAAGATCTTCAGGGGAGAAGAACCAGACGTGCGAAGGACATCACACCTGATCATCCAAGATATTCGAGAAAGCGGATTCACCTTCCAACCTCTATGATTGTAGTTCTTCTCTTTTCTCACCAGGCATTTATGTTTTGGTATTTTTATAAGTTGTTTTTTCGCTTAATCGTGTAATCGCCAACATGTAAACCTTGGTTTTCTATTCTTCTAATACATTCGGCAATACTCTTGCCACTTTCCTTTAAAAAAAAACCACTGGACTGACCAATCTTGTCCAATGTAGACCCCATTTTAAAAGTGCCTACATCTGATCCCTTTCCCTTACCATGAACAATACTCCCATCTTCTTTTTTTTTTCATACTCCTTATTTAAATCAAGAGCTTGTATAGGATGTTTGTGGTAGTATTAACAACTCCTAACTTTTTTAAAAGGAAAAAGTGACATGTGAGGAGCCTATATGTCAATTAATTCCACCAAATCTCTACTTTTCGTGGGAAGGAAAAAAATAATGTGAGGCTAAAAAGGTTCACATGTGATTAACAAATATATACAACAAATAAGAGATGACAATAACATGTTAATGGTAAACTTTTTTAATTAAAATCCTGTTGCAGCGCATGGGCAATATGCTAGTATGTCAAATTACCAGAAGTGTAAAATGTGTAGCATCTCCCGGCACTCCTAAATAGCTGCATGTTCTAATTAATTAGTTTAGAAGCTCCTGCCAAAGTACACCCACATGACTATCCCACGAACATCATCTACTGTCGGATCCAGAAAAGCCTTAATAAATATTATTATATAAAAGTTTGCTATAAAATTTTTGTTTTCAATTCATAAAAAATCAAATTCTATTGCGCATCCGCCTGATGAGCCCAGGGTGGTATGACTGTAGATTCGCCACTTACACCATCAACTGGTTGGTTTCCCCCCCTGTTCATCTCCTTCAGAACTTCAGAAATAGAAATTGAGAATATTTGCCGGAACATGATTATCCGCCCTTTTGGTAAGGGCGGGACGTTTCTATATGTTTGGAATACTAAGGAGGTTTCTATATGTTTGGAGACGTTTCTATATGTTTGGAATACTAAGGAGGAACTTAGCATCTAGTATTGATAGAGAAGAAAATGGTGAGAAAACCTGCGCTCAAACAGATTCGAACTCAGGCCAGCACGCTGCTCCTAGTAGCTCCCTGCCAGCTGAGCTAGGTGTTGTTCTCGTTTCTATATCGATCCTAGAAGTTCAGGAATGACAGCAAGGTGAAAATTTTCAAAAATTTCTCATTCCTTTAATTTAGCAAAAAATATTTTATTTCGTTCAAAATTTAAATTCTTTCAGGCCCTGCTTGAAATTTTGTTGCTTTACACAATGTTGAATCTTGAGTTAATCTCTGCAACCCGATGAATGATCGTAAGTTCACAACTATCGATTGTTATTCGTATATCCACCATGAGTATCTCCTTTAAAAAGTAATGGTAGTGATTTTGTTACCACCTCTACCATCAACTCCCTACTTTTTTTTAAGGAAAAAAGGCGGGTGGGACTAAAGGGTCATATATCAACTATTTCTCACCAACCATATATTTTTTGTGAGAAGAAAAAAATAGTGTGGGGTCCGGAATTTCACATATCAATAATAAATATATACAACAATTAAAAAATAATACATACATAAAATAATGTTAATAACGGGTTAATAATAATTTTCTAAATTGAAACTATGTTGTACTAACACACAAACAATATACGCTAATAATGATGAATGGCAACCGGTGATATATACTTTATCCGTTTCATATTATAAATCGTTTAACTTTTTTCATAGTCAAAATTCTTTTGATTTAATCAACGTTATAGAAAAAATTATCAACATTTACAATGACAAATTTGTTTCATTAAATTTAAATTGAATATTTTTCGATAATATGTTTATTTTGTATTGAAAATATTAGTATATTTTTCTACAAATTTAGTTAAACTTAAAAAATCTTGATTAAAAAAAGTTAAACGTACGAAGGCCTAAGAACAGTAAGGGGAGAGAGAGAGAGACTTCGCAGCGATACCGTGGTCCCTGACGGCGTTCCAGAGCAAGGGCAGCACGCGGGGCGCGATGCGGTGGCAGCCGAGCGGCAGCGGCCTGGACCATGCCTCCCGGTTGAGCCGCCCGTTCTCGGCCACGTCGCCGCCGAGGAGGAGCTGGTACCGGCCGCCCCCGACGCCCTGCGCCCGCAGCGCCCGCTCCAGCCGCCGCGGCGCGCGCTCCACCGTCCACCACGCCGCCGCGGCCAGGCACACCAGCGCAACGGCCAACGCCGCCGCCGCGCCGGCCGGCACCAGCCCCAGCCCCAGCATGATCAGCATGGCGCGGCGAGGTGAGAGGGAAGCAGAGGTAGTATATGCTATGCTTGGGTTGACGCGATCTTTCTGCTACAAGACAGAAACGCGCCGGCCTGTTTTCTCCGTCGTAGCAGCCGTCCATCGAGCATGCATCGCGTGGCGTGGCGCCCAAAGGCCTCAGTTTAGATTCTCTTCGTAACTTGACATGTACTCACTCCGGTTCTATATTGGTTCTATATATTAATTGACGTTTTGAACAATATTAATGTCAAACTTTTATAACTTTGACCATCAATAACTTTAAAAATATTTAGTTTAAAGGAACTAGAACAACATATATAGATTTGTCTTTTAAAGCACTATAATAAAAATAAACATGCATTTATTTATTATATGTATTATAATAGAAAAATAAGATCAAAGATATATCTTGTAGACCGTGTCATTGTCCAAAACGTCAATTAAAATGAAATCAGAGGGAGTAGACATATCTATCATGATTTTTTAATAATTCGGCTTATTAAATGTTCTTTAAGTATGACATAAATATTTTTATATTTGCACAAAAATTTTGAATAAGACGAATGGTCAAACGCTCATAGCGGCATCGGTGCGACAATTTGGATGCAAATTCGCTCCGATTTTGTGGGAAATATAAAGAGGAGATCGAGTAGATAAAAAGTCCTCAATTAATTTTAGGAGATAGAGAAGATTTGACCAGATTTGATGGGAAGGGTTGGCTCCGGCATCGCATGGTATGGAACTGTCATACGGAGGTTGAAGACGTTTGGGTCTAGCTTGGTATGGAGAAAAGGTAGGAAGCAGCAGATTGGGCTGGAGCTGAAAAAAAAGGCCTAATATAAAAGAAGGATTTTAATTAACTTTTTCCAATTATAGTGTATAACTATAACTGTCATAATGTTTCAATTAATTTCTCAGCATCACTAAGAAAAAACACTTTTACCCATTGTAACGCACGGACATTTTTCAGTATATATTAAAAAAACTGATAAAGTAATAACTATAGGCCTGTCAGTCTGTAACACGAAGCAGGCTGCAGGCCCAGCGCATATCCTAGTTTGTGGACATCATGGGCCGTGGCCCAACCGCTGTATAAACATAACAAAAAAGGGAAGCCACCATTCTAGGGTTGCCTCCCAATCCCAGACTCTCCATTTCCGCCTCCAAACCCTCGCCGCGATGGGCAGGAAGCCCTCGTCCGCCGCCGCCGTCGACCACGGCGCCCTCTCCGCGAGCGCCAAGGCCGCCGACGACCTCCTCGCGGCGTCCGCCGGCTGCGGCGGCGCCCACGGCCACTCCCTCTTCTTCGACGCCCTCGTGCAGCTCATCCCCCCGCGCTTCTACCTCTCCGCCGCCGACGAGCACCGCCCGTGGTACCAGGGCCTCTCCAAGTCCGCCAAGGCCGCCATGAAGGCGCAGTCCCGCGCCAACGTCAAGGCCGCCCGCCGCGCCCGCCTCGATCCCTCCGCCCCGCCCTCCTCCACCCTCGACCTCCTCAAGAAATCCCTCGCCGACCAGGACGCCCACGATTCCTCCTCCTCCTCCGGGGAAGATGCTAGCGACGACGACGACGATGACGACGACGATGAGGTCGAAGAGCGGGAGGAGGACGAAGGGGATGAGGAGGGTATGCAGCTCGCGCCGGCGGCCGTGGTGTCCGAGGACCGGTCGGTGACCTACGAGGAGCTGCGCGAGCGGCTCCACCGCCGCATCGCCGAGCTCCGCGGCAACCGGTGCACCAGGCCGGAGTTCCTGAACAAGCCCAAGAGGGAGAAGGGCAAGAAAGGGAAGAAGGGGAAGGATGTGGGGAAGAAGAGGAAGCGCGAGGATGGCGGCGGCGGCGGCGGCGCTCAGGATGGGGAGGGTAAGGATGGGAAGAAGTCCAAGAAGGAGGAGGATTCCAAGGCACCGGATATCGTCTATGGCAATGTGTGGGTCGATCCTAAGGAAGCGAGGAGACGGAAGAAGAGAAGGATCAAGAACAAGAAGAAGGCTCTTGAGGAGGCTAAGCGGATGCAGCAGGCGAAGGAGGATCCTGAGAAGGCGACCAAGCTGGCGTGGGATCTGGCAAGAAGGCGGGCTGCTGGCGAGAAGGTGCACGATGACCCGAAGTTGATCAAGGAGAGCATGAAGAAGGATAAAAAGCGGCAGCAGAAGCACGCCGAGCAGTGGAAGGAGAGGCAGAAGATGGTGGACAAGCAGAAGAAGGAGAGGCAGAGCAAGAGAACGGAGAACATCCGGGAGCGGGCTAACCAGAAGAAGATGCGCAAGATTGAGAAGCGTGAGAAGAAGCTTATGCGCCCTGGATTTGAAGGGCGCAAGGAAGGATATGTCAATGAGTAACATCTCCATTGAATGCTGTGAAGTGAGAAGGATCAGTGTATCAGCCAAGGTTGCATTTGTCAATGTCGGCACTCGTAGTAGGTTAGCAAATCATTACCGTCATGTGCCTTATTTAGAGCATGGAATTTGAATACTTGGCAGGTTTGTCTACAAAAATGTTTTTGGGGATATTCTTGCGTGTTATTTTCATTTATGGTTGGATAAACCTGCAAAAGAAAAAGAAAAGAAACCGCCTTGCTAAGTCTTTGAGGCATTTAGCACTAAATTTTGCACAGAGTAAATCGTTAATATTAATGGTGCTTTAGTGGCTGCCCTTTTTTTGGTTTCCAGTGGGTAAGACTGATGTATGGTTATATCTATTTCCATTATGATGCTTTTGTACAGACCTTTATAGGTTGGATTTCTGTTACCACTTTCTTCACTGTTAGCTAAATTACTGTCTGCGATGTTCACCTATTATTGTGGCATGGATGCGCTACATAGACTTGGTCATTTTGAAAATTTTCTGTAGTTTGTAGTTGAATCTGTGATATGCCTGTTTTATCAGACAGTATGACACCATTCTATTATAGTTGCCTCACAAAAGCTTGTTAATATTCGGAGACAACGAACTTTTGCAGTGAACTTTGAGAATCATCAATCTATGTTTATAACAATTCTGCTATGAGCCTATGTGGTGAGAACTTAAAGAGGGGAGAAAGGAGAAAACTGGAGATATGTAGTACTAGCATATTTAGATTGTTTGTATATCACATGCTATGAGCATATTTAGAAGTTTGCTTTCTGTCTGTTCATGTTCAGATTGTGCCTGCTGGTTCTGGTTCTTGGTGTAGTGGTAGTTTTTTAGCCCTCTGTTGATTAAGTTTTTTTCTGCGTTCTGCAAAATTTCGCTTGAGGGATGTCATGTACAGGAGTCTGCAAAATTAAATTTCGCTTGAGAAGTATATGTTGCTTTTGGTGCCGTTTATGGCTCAAAATTCGATTTTTAAGATGCTCACGCAAACATTGTCAAACTCAGGAAATAGTGGTGCCCTCTTTTGTCCGAATCTTATATACCTATAGTTGTCCCCCACTGTGAACACTATATTTCCCCTTTCTCATAGAGTCACGTATACTTCTCTCAGTATCATCTCGATTATTTTTAAATCGATCTATTTCTTAAATTGCCCTCTCATCAAACGCATTTCGCAACCTGCCTTTTTCGATGATCAATCAAATATGCATATTTTACTTTAGAAATAGTGAAATATTGCCAAGCCGGCAGGAGATGCTTAAACAGCAAGTAGCCAAGTTCATTCGTATTTTGACTTGAACCATCCTCCGCTCCATTTCATTCAGCTGGTAGTTCATTTGTATTTTGACTTGTACCATCCTCTACTTCATTCTTCATCTGGTTTCTTGAAGAAGTCTGGTTTCTTGAAGAAGTCGCAGTACACAGAAAGAAACACTGCAGGACAAAATGGACACTGGTAGCATGGCCATGTTGCAATGGGAATTGTCCGCACCTGCAGTAGCAGCCACTGATATGTGGGACCAGGTCCACCTATCAGCCACTGGCCCACTGCTACTACAAATGCAGCACCAAATGCAGTGCTGCATAGGATCCATGTCCGCAATGTTACTTCGAGAAGCAACACGGTGTTCAGCAAACAAACAAACTCAAGGTGTTGCGAATTTTGTTTGCCACCTTGTTCAGTATACCCTCTCTGCAATTGTAACTTGCAGTTGTAACTTGTGACTTCAATTTAATTTAAATGGAAAAAAAACAACCATTGGTGATGTCTCAAACAGGAACAACGATATGGACAAGTAGGAATAGCCAGGAACAATTTGAGATAAAAAAACTTGGAAGTAGGAATAGCCATGAACAATTTGAGATAAAAAACTTGGGAAGTATATTAAGCTTAAGTACTTGGAAACACAAGTGCTTTTTGTTACCCCATCCACCAATATTGACTCGCAAGAAATTAGTAAGCAAAGAAAAAAATGAGTAATATATACCGGAAGAACCATAGCCAAAAAAGAGCACAGGTTAGAAGATTGAATGAAGAACAGCTTACTCGTAGAGATAAAACAACAGATAACTCCGACATGAAATTGTCAAATGACAGGTGTATGAAACACAGGTAAAATGCCGTACCCCCTAGGTACAAACCATTGAGACAAAAAGAAAAGAAAAGAAAAGAAAAAAGAACATCACATCCCTCGGTACGCAGACTTCACTTCACATAGAGCTAGAACACTCAGGAACAATGGTGCAGCCGCTGACACTCATCATGCAACAACATCGACATGAGATACCCAATGGATAGCTCCAGAGCAAATTTTCTCTTTTGCTTTCTACCTACATTTCCAGCCAAACGGTGTTTCTGTCTTCATGATGAATAAAAGGCACATTTGCATGATCAATCACGAGGAATGGACGCCAGGAATAGGCGCGTCGACGATGAGATCGCGGTGATGCTATTCGTATGGACGAGAGGAGAGCTCTGAAGCAGCGGTGGTGTCTCCAGGACAGAAAAAAGAAAAAGAGAAGCTCTATTCACATAGACCGCAGAGCCGAGATGGAGCGAAAATGCCCCATGTACCTAATTCGACCCAGTTGGGTTCTGCAAGTGATTCATCTTTTTTTTTCCCCTAGAATGACGACTTAACTGAACCTTCTGCTTCAGAGGTTTACTCATTTGTACTATCAAAGCTGCCACGAGCATTTGGCCACTTTCTTTCTCTTGAATTCTCCCCCCATGTTTTGGCCTCTGCGACTGCACGCTGCCTATCAGTACTCCGCGATGATTCCCTCTTCCTTCCTGCGTGAGCAGGACTACCCATCTGTGAACCTGTCACATCCATGCTGTCCAAGCCAGCTCGTCGACCAGAGCCACTGCCAGAATTAGTCCTGCTAACCTCAGCTTCATATTTTGATGTTGTGGTGCCTTCTTTCCTTAAATCTGGAGATTGTTGGTGATTTGGTGAGTGAAGACGACGCTGGTCAAAATTCGCACCAACACGGTTTCTGGCCCTAGGGGTAGATGCATTGCTCCGACTGTGCTGAACAGGTGTATTTGGATCATATGTCTGGGAAGCAAGATATGAAAGAGCAGTGACCACATCTCCTATAAAAGGCCTAGTGGCAGCTTGCTCCTGCAAACACATTGCAGCAACTGCTAAAGCCTGATACAGGCCCCGCATAGGAAATCGGCCCGCAAGTAATGGATCAGCCATTTTAGGAAATTTCCTGCGGTCTTTAAACAGGGGACGGGCCTGCAAATAAGATCAATGGTATCAGATATCCAAAATTGTGTTATCTGAATATTTATCGAAAGTAAAGCTTATTTAAATCTGCAACTGCAAGAAAATATATTGTCAGGTAATAAATTAGTATAGATAAAGGAGTGATCAAGATATCACAAGAACTAGTGTCAATGGTCAATAATAAATAACCTAATTCCACTGGTGTTAACAATCAAAATAAAATAATTACTTTCCCCCCCAAAAAAAAACTACTTTACGCTCACTTGATAAGAGACACCGTTCTTGTATTATAAGAGGATTTCAGAACCAAGGTGGAATCCGATATTGAGGTAAACTTGACAATTATACAAGTATGCTCAGCTGGTTTAGATTATAAAGTCAAATCAACAAACTTTACCAGCTGGTTTACCCGCTTGGCTGAGCTCCTCAGCTCCAGATCATAATTCTAAGCTGAATTTAATTTAAACTTTTGACTTCATGATCAATTTTAGGGGTTTTCTTCATCGCTCTAATTGCTTTCTCCTTTCATGATTGCTAATAAGAAAAGTAAAAAAAAATGTAAAATCATTCTTAAAAAATCAAAATTGGTTTGGAACTGACAATAAATCCAAGGCCAAGAAGGGCTGACCCTGGTCAAACTGCCTAATGAAAAGTTACTGTTTCTGGATGAATAAGCAATAACAATAGCTGAATAGAAATAGTTTTCGAAGATTGCATGTTATATGTGCTACAGTGTAAGGCTTTCGAAGATTGCGTTCCAGAAAATACGAGGGAAATGCCATATGAATTAACAAATGAGGCATTTGATATAAATGTTAGTCTCAAGGTTCAGTTAGAAAAGGTTATATGATCTGAGAAGTAAATAAAAGACTAACCTTGCACAATTTCCAAAAATGTCTTTTGAGACATTAGCTTTTTGGCTAGTGGATTATTTCATTTTCCAAGCTAGGAAAAACAGTTTACTCCCATCCTAGTTATACTTTTAAATCTTTTAGTTCATTTTTTCCTTAACTACAATGTTTTAGTACCTATGCTTCATCCAAGAAATTGTAAAATAAATGAATTTGCTACGATATATCGATAGGCAACCATCAAGCTTATGACAAAATTTAGACAATAGATGAACATACCCATGCCACTAGGTTCTGCTCTCCAAGTGGTTTGGTGTTGTCGATTGCTTTGCGGCCAGTAATCAGTTCAAGGAACACAACACCAAAACTATACACATCAGATTTAACAGTAAGCTGCCCAGTCATCGCATATTCTGGGGCACAGTAGCCATAAGTTCCCATAACACGTGTCGAAACATGAGTTTTGTCACCAACAGGGCCAAGTTTTGCCAGGCCAAAGTCTGATAGTTTTGGATGGTATCCCTCACCAAGAAGAATGTTCGATGACTTGAAATCCCTGTAAATAACAGGAGGATTTGCCTTGTCATGCAAGAATTCCAAGCCCTTGGCTGCACCAGCAGCAATCTTCATCCGTGTATTCCAGTCGAGAGGTTCCTTGTCAGGTGGAATATCTAACACACAAAAGTACAAAACGTTGCCATTTATGAATCATGCAAATTAATTTAAACAAACTAAATACGTCTTATGAACAAACAATGCGCTTAAGAGTCTGATGCAGACATCGTTGTTGCATATTACCAACTTTTATGGAAACATAAGAGTCTGTTGGTTTCGAAAAACCATAATGCTAAGTAAATCAAGTCCAGATTATAGACACAATGTTTTGTTTTCATGATTTAGCAATGGAACAAGTATCTGAGCATAATTACATCATAGGGTATTCTAGATATATAAACTTGAGACAGGATATGTGGGAGACAATAAAGTTGAAGTAACAACAATGTAAGGTTTCTGTTTGGTAAACCACTTTCACGACGCAAATTATTTTAACTAGTATTTATTAATTGTGAGTTAATACAGGATAACCCACAAAACTGTTGTTTTTTTTCCTTTTTCTGGAAGAAACTTTATACTGTTGGAAGTGTGAGTTATAACGAGCTCACAACGATAGAATAAACACATGTAGGTACTTGCAAGCTGAGTTGACAGATACTGCATGTATAATGCCACATGTGTCTTTGAATATACAGGACATAGGCATACAAATACAATAGGAGTTCATGAGTGTAGTAGAGTAGCAAATTTACCATGCAAATGATCCTCAAGTGATCCCAATGGCATAAACTCATATACAAGGAGACGTTGATCCCCATCAGCACAGTATCCAATTAGGTTAACCAGGTTATCATGGTGCAATAGACTGAGCATAAGGACTTCAACCAGAAACTCTCTATTTCCTTGAAGTCCATTGCGATCAAGTTGCTTCACTGCAACAGCCTGCATATTTGGTAAGCTCATCGATCAAGACTTTAAGGAAACATGTCTCCTCTAATGCTCCACAGATCACATAGGGGGTTAAAAGAAATGCAGTAACCATAATGTGGTGTTTTAGTACGCAAATTACCAAAAGTGCACAGTAGCTAACCATAGAGAATTCAAAAAATCCCCAACCACGAAAAACATATTTCAGAACACAAACCTGCCCATTCTCCAAGTGTCCTTTATATACGCGGCCAAAACCTCCCTCCCCCAATAGACAATCTTGTCTGAAGTTCTTAGTGGCAGCAGCAAGTTCACGAAAAGTGAAAGTGTGTGCAGCAATAGGTTGACCATTCGCATCCCTTGGGATGAATGCATCCTTCCTAGAGTCCAATCCACCCTGTGATTTTGATTTATCTAGAGAAAATGATCTAGTGTTAGGGGCCACCTGAATCATCAATGTAACAAAAAAAGGTGAACTACTCCTAAAGAATAAATAGTAAAATAGTAAAAACAAGTCATAGATACCACATGATTGTGCAGTTAAATTGCTTAAAATGCTCTAATACCTAAATTGAGAATATGGTTATGTTTGTTATTAAACAAATCAAATATAACAGTAATAATATCTATTTAGTAAACTTCCCTTTTTTACTGAGAAAATTCCTTATGTACCATTGAGTGTTACTTAAATCCCCTATTTACCATCTAAAATTTGATGTTCACTTATTTTCCACCGACCCATATTTAATAACCCTTTCTTGCCCTAGTCCATTTATTACTCTGGTAGGACGACGCATTGTTAGTGGTCAGGTTTTTTTTTTCTTGGCAAAATCCTATTCTTGCCCTTACACGGCCACTTATCATCTTCATCCAATCTCTTTCTGCTCTCCTCTCTTCTTCATTTTTCTCGAATACGCGGAAGAGAAACATTAGTACATTTTAGTATCAAAACATTACCAATGTGCCACCAATAAAAAATAAAACGACCATACCCTACTCTACTAGCACTAATATCAACCTACAGCCAGCTGCACTAAATACTCCTCTCTCTTATTCACCCACCATGCCAGATGGCACGCTACCATGGTCCACAAGGTACTCTAAGCGGCTCAACTGCTGGACTTCCCTCTCCTATCCCAATCACATAATCACCCATGTAATTTAGTTGCCTCCCTCACCTCTCCCAGCCCCAACGATGTACCATTGATTACAAATTCAGCTGCCACTGAGCTCGTCCCCACAGCCAAAAAAGCTTTGCCACCCTCAAGTTTTGATTTCGGCAGCCATGGATGCAGCCCCCTGCAGCCAAGCATTGTTGTCAGTGGACGGACTTAATGTCTTTCTACTGCTGCTAGACACATCCACACCATTCCCAAACACAACCACTGCCTTCAAGGTCATGGCCAGTTAGCCACCATGGACCTTGGGTTTAGAACGAGAGGAAGGAACTTAGATTTTGTTGCCAGTGTGTTCTGATTTCAAGCGCAGACAGCCTAATCCTTGGACGAGGAGCTTTAACTTCATGTGCCATCGTGCCTCAATTTGTGCACTGCCAAGCTCACACTGCTGCCAATGTGCTCTTCCCGTCGTCATGGCTTCAATTTCAGCCATTCTTTGTATTTGTCCCCCAACATTATGGCTTTGACCTCAGTCTCTATTGACAATGGGCCCCAACTTCATGGTATTCTGGCTTGATGTAATCATCCACGGTGCTCAGTACAGCAGACCTTGAAGACAGAACAGGCTAGGAAGGAAGAAATAAAAAGGAAACAGCAGGTGAGGAGAGAGAGGAAGAGAGGAAAGGAGAAGAAAGAGGAACAAGGCCATGGAGGAATAGGGTAACATCCTCGAAGACAGAACAGGCTAGGAAGGAAGAAATAAAAAGGAAACAGCAGGTGAGGAGAGAGAGGAAGAGAGGAAAGGAGAAGAAAGAGGAACAAGAAATGAGAATGTGAAAAATAATTAAACGTCAATTTTTGAATGGCAATAGAGGAATAGGGTAACATCCAATGGTATATAAGGAATTTTCTCTTATTTATGGGCACACCAAATGCTGACTCATTTCTTCTCCCTCTGATTAGAGTTGTACATTTTGACCACTCGGAGAAAATGTGGTGCCTCCTCATATTACGATAGTTTGAGCTTTTATAATAACAAATGTGAAAAGCAGGTACAATTTTAGTTATTGATGATTAGACCATTTACAGTCTGATGAAAAATCCCTACAAAATCAATGCCTCATCTTGAAACACAAACGGAATCCATGGCCAGCTAAACTGCGCTCAATATCATCATTATACAAGTTATATTGATTTATTGTCTTATCGATTGAGGGGGGTGAATAAAAAATATGTTTAAGTCAGGACAAAGTCGGAAAGGTTTCACTTTTGTCAGCATGCATGTTGGAGTTGGAGCATAGGACAAAAATCCAGACAGAGAATTATATTAGAGAAATTGAAATATGCATTTCCGTTTTGATGAATGTCATATAGAAGATCTTTCATGAAAATCACATAATTTTCCAGTCCATTTACAGATGTGTTGTGCATATTAAAAACATATCCAGTGGAAGAACTGAGATAACCTGCCTAATCATTCTAAAACACATTGGCCATTTTGGTCATCACAAACCAGGATTAAAATTTTGTGGTGAATGTACCATGTTGTATGGAAATAAATAAAAGTACAAAATGACGCTTCTTTGGCACTTGTTTGATGTTGCATCTGGGTCTTCTACCATACGTACCAACACTAGCATGTGTTGTCCATAGGTTTGTCATTGTAGCCCAGAGAATAAGTCAAACAGATAGAATGCTTTCAAAGGTCAGCTTTACTAACAAGGTTAACCACATTGTTACCGATTATTGCTAAAATTGCAGGTGATATTTCCTGGGGGGAAGCTAAGTCTCCCTGACTCGTCCATTTCTTCATATACATCTATAGCAGTCTTGCAAGTACTTCCACATCATTTATCAGTATAAACAAGAAGTGAAACATTAATTTCCTTGTCCCCCTGAATCCAATACTGCAAGAGTCATACTGCAACCTCCTATCCATCCACAACCTCCTATCCATCCACGAAAATATCACTAAAGCCGCTGGCTTCTATCAGTTATAGGATAAACCAAAAAGGATGACCTAGCTTACCGATCCAAAACATCACAGATAAACTACAAATAGATAAGTAACGCATACTAACATCAAGCACTCATACCATCAAAATAGCCTAACACAAACAAAAGGAAAATCTCCCAAATACCACCACACCACCATCCGCGCCGAAACCTCGAGATTGTCTCCAACCCATTCGCTAAAATCGAATACGTGTTAGCACAAAGTTCGAATCGCCCATTGATCCGAATCACACCAAAATCTCATGAACTGACCACATCGGAGCAAATCATCAGCTACCATTTCCTACAAACAAAACCACCCCCAAGATCCAACCCTTTCCCCCCACACCCCCACCACAAGAACCGCACCTGATCCGACCCGGGCGACGCGGCGATCCGCCGAGCCGCCGTCCTTGCGCCCGCCGCCGCCCTTCTTCGCCTCCCCCTTGCCGCCCGACCCGAAGCACGGAAAGCAGCCCATCCAAGAACCCTCCTCCCCTCCCCTCTCCCGGAGGGGAAACGCAAAAAAATCAAAAAAAAGAAAGAAAGATCAAGAGAAGCGCGGCGGCCGGGGGGCGGAGGCCGACCCACCACACCAGACGACACGGGGATCTCTCCCCCCGATCTGGGGGGTCTCGAAATCCGATCTTTGGAGGAGGCGACGGCTCTTGGATGGGATTTGGGGGCGGTCGGTCGGCGATTTTGGGGGTAGGGATGGGAGGGGAGGGGAGGGAGGGAGAGGAGATGGATGCCCAAGGGAGGGCAAAAGTCAGCCCAGGGGCAAGAGTGAGATGGGAGGATCTTCCGAGAATCCACTGTACCATTTGTCTCCCCCATCATGGATTTTTTTCGTTTTCATTTCATTTTATTTTTGTGTAAGTTTAAGTTTTTGTTTAGGAATTTATGATTGAATCTGTGTGCATGTAGAGGAAGGTTTTATCTGTTTGTTGTTTGAATTATCGTTGATCTTAATGGTCGGTGATTTTAGAAACGAGGATAGATGAAAGGGAACCGCTGGGATAGAAAGAAAAAGTAACATAGGGTGTCCGAGGGATAATGCTAAAAGTTATCTTGAACAATCGGCGTAGTAAGGACGCACTAATAAGTGGATTTTTCTGGAGTCCGTCGTGCCGTGTCTCTTGGGATATTTTTTGTTTTGATTTGAGTTCTTTTTGGACATTTTGTGTACATGTGAAGAGATGTTTGTTCTATTGTCCTTTGAATTGTAGGGTCTGTTTGGATTATTGCTAGACTAGATCTCATTGGACAGAAACAGAGCTCTAGGAGAGAGAATAGCATAAGATATCCGAGGAACGATGGCAAAAGTTCACTCAGGGCAGCTAGCAAAGTGAGAAGAGAGAGGATCTTCCAAGAATCCACTATCGCATTGTGTCTTGGGATAAATTTGGTTCTGATTTAATTTCTTTTGCAAAAAATAAATACTTTTTAGAGAAGGAAATTGCTAGTTTTCGGGTGACTGAAATTAATAGAAATTTTAATCACCCTCATCCTAACACTAAAATTTTAGAGGAGGGGAGGACTTACCGGTGATGGCGGCAACAAAGGTGAAAGCCCATTTCTCCATTGATGGCGCCGCGGTTGAGGTAAGGTTAGAGTTTAGGGTTTTGAAGAGGGGGACATGTTAGGAGGGGGGGCTAGGGAAGGGGGGAAGAGGGGAGTTCCTAGGGGACTTGGGCTGTGTTCTTCCCCTATTTTCCCAACCCAACTCTCTCGTTTTCCGCGCGCACGCTTTTCAAACTGCTAAACGGTGTGATTTATTAAAAAACTTTTTATATGAAAGTTGTTTAAAAAAATCATATTAATCCATTTTTTCAAAAAAAAAATAGTTAATACTTAATTAATCATGTAATAAAACGAACTTCGTTTTGCGTGTCGGGGAGGAGGGGTTCCCAATGCCCTCCTCCGAACACAGCCTTGGAGGGTTTGTTTGGATTATTACTAGTCAAATCTTATTGGATAGAACGGAAGCTCTAAGATAGAGAGAAAGGTGGCCTAATATGTCCAAGGACAAAGTCAGCTCAAGGAAGCCAGTCAAATCTTATTGGAGTATCTTTGTGTTTTTTAGAAAATTTTATTTGATTTATTTTGCACAAATGTATGTGTATGTGAAGAAATGATTCATCTTGTTGTTTTTTCAATCGAATAGCTCCTTTGGATTATTATCAACTCAGATCTCACTGGGACGAAAGTAGAGTATCGGGACAAATAAAGAGGATAGGACAAGATGTCCAAGGCCAAAATTCATCTCAAGGCAACCAACAGATAAAGGAGGAAGAGGATCTTCTCGGAAGCTAATGTAGTTGAGTCTCCTAAGATAAACATTGTTTTTATTTGATTTCTTTTGCACAAATCTATGTGCATGTGAAGAGGGTTTATCTTCTTTTTTGTTTGAATTAAAGGTCATGTTTGGATTATTACCAACCTATATATAACTAGGATAGAAGGATGGCTCCACGATAAAGAGTAAAGGATGTTTTCAGAACAACCAACAGAGTGAGGATGGATATGATTTTCTCCAAACTATACTCATGTCTCTTAGAACAAAGTAGGGCTTGTTTCTATTACTACCAACCTCGACCTTTCTAGTATGAAAGGAGAGCTCCAGTATAGATCAAGGGGATAACACAATATGTCTAAGACGAAAAATCGGCTTAGAGTAGCTAGTAGAGTTAAGAGGGAGAAGATATTCTCGGAATCCACCATGCTCATGTCTCTTAAGATAACTTTTTGTTTTTATTTGATTTCAATTCCACAAATTTGTATGCATCTGGAGAGAGGGTTTATATTGTTGTCGATTGAATCGAAGGTATTGTTTGGATCATTACCAACCTAGACCTTACTAGGATGGAAGGAGTGCTCCAAGATAGAGCAAGCCGGTAGTAGATGTTTAAGGCCAAAGTTGGCTTAGGGCAATCGGTAGAGTGAGGAGGGAGAGGATCATTCCGAAATTCACAGTGCTTTTTTAGGAAAATTTTGGTTTTGATTTTTTTGTATAAATTTGCGTGTGTGTTGAAAGGGAATTTATCTTGTTGCCATTTAAAGCGAAGGGCTTGTTTGGATTATTACCAATCTAGATATCACTAGAACGGAAGCAATGCTCAAGAATAGAAAGAAGGTAACACAAGAAGTCCTATGCCAAAAGTCGGCTCAAGACAACCAACAGAGTGAGGAGAGAGAGGATCTTCTCAGAATCCACGGTACTCGTGTTTCTCATGTTAAACTTTGGTTTTGATTTTATTTGTTTTGCGCATGTTTTGTGTGCATGTGGAGATGAATTATCATGTTGTGGTTTGGATCGAATGGGTTGTTTGGATTATTACCAACACATACTTTATTGGGATAGAATGAGAGCTTAGGATCAAGACAGAGGTTAGCACAAAATACTTGAGGTCCAAAGTCAGCACGGGGCAACCAAGAGTCCGGCGAGAATCTTCCCGTAATCCAATATACTCATGTTTTTATGACAAATTTTGGTTTTGATTTGTTTTCCTTTGCACAAATTTGTGTGCATGTGGTGATATGATTTATCTTGTCATGGTTTGAATCGAGGGACTTGTTTGGATTATTAACAAGTTAGAGCTCACTAGGATGGAATAAAAGTTAGAGAAAGAGGGTTGCAAAAAATGTACGAGGCCAAACGTCAGCGTAGAGTAGCCTGTAGAGTATGCAGAGAGAGAATCTTCCTCGAATTCACTGTGCTTGTGTCGCCTCTTATGATAAATTTTGGTTTTGATTTTATTTCTTTTGCAGAAATTTATGCGCATGTGGAGAGAGGGTTATCTTATTGTTGTTTGAAACAGAAGACTTGTTTAAATTATTAGGGTTTAAATTTTGATATCTACAAATATCAAGTTCCCGTGATGTCCGTCTTTTTTTGTCAAAGGCACATTTAGGGCATGATTAGTTCGTGAAAAGAAAATTTTTAGGTGCCACATTGGATATTTGACCGATATCGGAAGGGGTTTTCGGACACGGATGAAAAAACTAATTTCATAACTCGCTTGTAAACCGCGAGATGAATCTTTTGAGCCTAATTAACCTGTCATGATTATGACTAATCATGGACTAATTAGGCTCAAGAGATTTGTCTCGTGATTCCCCCCCCCTTTTGATGACAGGTAGTATTTTTTGATGGCAGGTAGTAATACCCAGCTTTCAAAATGAAAGCCAACAAAACACAACACAGTTGTTTTATAAAAAAGAAAGGCATAGGCAGTAAAAGATTAAAAAAACAGAACATGACCCGCATACATGTTACTGGGAAGGAACTAGCAACCAGGCAAAAGACACCACTCCGAGAAAACAAAAGGAAGCTAAACACCCCCCACAGCAACATTATAGAACTACCCCTAACTGAAATCTAAATCATCTGGCAGCCTCCCCGAAGGACGGAGTTGTTGAAGCTTGGTCATCAAGTCCTTAATCAGTTGCTCCAAACAAACCTCTTCTTTTCTTCTTTGAATGAGCCTCCAGCGCTGAAGCAGTGAAATTATCCTGTAAACAACCTGCAAAGGAGACTTGAGCAATTTATTCTCAAAAACCCAGTCATTCCTAGTTAGCCAAATACCCCAAATCCAACTTGCGAACACTACTACGGGTGTGTTTGAGGGGAAGGGGATTGAGGAGATTGAGAAGATACGCAAAACGAGGTGAGCCATTAGCTCATGATTAATTAAGTATTAACTATTTTAAATTTCAAAAATGGATTAATATGGTTTTTTAAAGCAACTTTCCTATAGAAATTTTTTGCAAAAAACGCACCGTTTAGTAGTTTGAAAAGCGTGCGCGCGGAAAACGAGACTCAATCTCCCCAAACACCCTGGAACGAACGGTGCCTACACCCAGCTTCCCCCCAGCTTTTGTTTTAATAACCCTAGACCTTCCCAAAAGGATACAGGGATCACAGGGAAGTTCAGAACCTCCTTGATCACACACCAATCAAATATCGTAATGGGGCAATTGAACAAAACATGATTGACATTTTCAGGTGCCCCACACAACTTGCATTTGTCATCTCCCCCCTTCCAGTTTCTCTTAACCAGCTGAAAAGCACATGGAATCCTCCCCCTTCCTGCATGATAAGCAAAATGTTTTATCTTCCAAGAAACTTTACTCTTCCAAATCTCCTGCATATCTGTATCTACCACCCCCAAAAGTCAAAAGTCTATACATTGATCGAGAGGTAAACTGCTTTTTCTTAACATGAAGCCACACCACCTTGTCATGTTCCTCTTTCAAAACCACACCTTGTCTCGCAAAGTATTTTTTTAATCTATACTTAATGCTCTATGCATGTGTCTAAAGATTCGATGTGATGTTTTTGGAAAAAAAATTTGGAAAACTAAACCAGACCTTATGTGTTCTCCGTGTAATAAAAGAAAACAACTCAAAAGTAATCTAAGGCATCGTTCGTTTAGGGGTGATAAGGGAGATTGGCTCTCGTTTTCCGCGCGCACGCTTTTCAAACTACTAAACGGTGCGTTTTTTGCAAAAAATTTCTATAAGAAAGTTGCTTTAAAAAATCATATTAATCTATTTTTAAAATTTAAAATAGTTAATACTCAATTAATCATGAGCTAATGGCTCACCTCGTTTTGCGTATCTTCCCAATCTCCTCAATCCCCTTCTCCTCAAACACTCCCTAAGTAGACCTCACTCTGAACCTCTCAGGCCCATACGGGCCCAGTACACGAGCTCCAGATGGGCCAGGGCCCAATACGCTCTCCTCGTGGGCCAAGCACGAGGAGGCCCTCCCGCTATTCTTCTCTTCTCTACCCTTCGTCCTCCTCGCGACCAGCCGGCGGCGGAGAGAGAGAGAGAGAGAGAGAGAGAGAGAGAATCGCCATGGCGTCGCGACTCGTGGCCCGGTCGAGGAGAGGCCTAGCGCTCGCCCTCTCCCGCGCCGGCGCCGGCGCCCCGTCGCGGCCCTCCCCTCCTGGCCTCGGCAAGGTGCGCCGCCGCCCCTCCCTAGTCCCCCACTGAGACTCTCGCTTTTGTTGCGTAGATTTTAGGTGTTTACGAGATCGAAGTGGCTGGGTGCGAGCGCTGTTGATCCGATTGCCTCTGGGATGATTTGGTTGGTTCGGTTACCTGTGGTGATAGTATTGTGTAATTGGTGTGTGATCTGATGCAGCCTCTATGTAGATTTCGATATTGCCCTGTTTCGTTGTGAAAGATGTGTGTGCCCTCTATTGGTGATAGGTCTGAGATGGAATGGATATACCAGTAGAGGCTGGGAGCCTTAAGTTGTCCAATTGATTAGCTGAACTCTACTTATATGTTCCCATGTTTTGTGAGTACTGGACATGTTCTTCCTTGAGCAGAAGATTAGCTACTGTAGTAGACTATTACTCCATTCGTCCTAAAATATAAGGGCTTTTGGTTGGATATGACACATCCTAGTACTACAAATCTGGACAGAAGCTTGTCTAGAATCATAGTATTAAGATGTGTCACATCTACCCAAAAACCCTTAAATTTTGGGACAGAGGGAGTAGTAAGTTTCCGTTTTGAAAAAAAAAAAACCTATAGTCGAAAACTCTTAGTTAAGATCTGCACGCTAACTTTATATGGCATTCACCTCTCCATACCATCGGAGAGTATTAACTGACTTTTGATCCATTCATGTTTTGCTTAAATTCCTGAGCTCTCATGCTAGTTAGGAATGAAACTATATCCTTGTATGGCACACACCTTCTATCTGATGACTAATTTGTCTTCTCAAAATTGAAACTTCTGAAATTTCATTCAACTACTATTGGCCAAATTGAAGCTTGACATCTTGCTTTTGGCATGATTTACCTGATATTATGCATACATTTAGGCTTGAAAAACTCATCTACAATTTACCAAAATGATAAATGCCCAATAAACTAATTTTGTTTGCTTTGTTGATTATGACAACTGATATTTTTTTGAAAGACAATTGCCTCTGACTTTCTGTGCTCTAATTTGCATTTCTGACATGATATTTATGCGTGCAGACTCTGGGGTATGAGCCAACATCACATCTCCATGGTGCTCAGTTTTTACCTTGTTGGTTTTCAACTATTGCATCTAATGGATCTCACATGCAAAAGGCACAGGTTTGTCTCCAGCTAGATTAGTGCTTGATTTGTCAGGTGCCCTGCTACATGTTGAATGTTCATCGGGTTGATGTTTTCTAATCTAACTGATACAGGAGACATGTAAGCCAGTTGCTGGAATGGAACACTCTGATGCACTGAAAGTAATGGAAGGAACCTCTCCTAAAGTTGTGGCATTCAGCCCACTAGAAGCAGCTATCACTAAACCTAGAAGCAGTCCCTTGACAATTGAAAGTTCTAAAGTAAAGCGATCAGAGATTGCAACGCTAGTCACATTTTACATGATCCCTTCTCTGCTTGTTTCCTCAAAAAATGGGCTTGCTACCTCTATTTTGGTTGGCGCAGTATTCCATCAAATATACATGTTTCACAAGGAGATATTTCTGGACTATGTGCACCATGATATCACCAGGAAGTGGGCTTTGATATACTTCAAGCTGCTTTTGTTGATCATGGCGAAGGAAACCATTGTGTATTTCAACTTTATCTGAGTTTTATCTCTTGCAGAGGGACAATCTATGTACTCATCCATACACCAGAAAAAATGACGGTGGTGGATAAAATTCTGGCGCCTTGTTCTCTTCATGGACATTTTCAACATTTTTCCTTCTCAACTTCATTTGTATATGCACTTGAAAGAGGATGATTAGTGATCAATGAAGCAATTAGTTCGACTTCATTCTTGTTTATAATAATAGCAACTGATATGAACTGTTTGGTATTTGCTAGCACGATGCAGCCATATGGATTTTGTTTTCCATGTATGAATTATCATCTTATGTGCATATATTTCTCCTTTTGGAGGCTTGAGCTGCCATTATTTTTTTGCGAATCCTTCAGACTCCAGTCCTACATGAATCCAGCGCTATGCTCCTTTTTGGAGGTTTTGTTACTGCAGAGATGATTGTGTGTTTAACTTTATTGATTGGTTTGATTGTTTCTGCAGATGTTACAAAGATTGGCCGGTTGCAGTTTGTTTGAAATGCTAGGATTCAGAAGTCCCTCCAGATGCTTGCTTCAAATATACTTACTACTCAGTAAATGATAGGAGTACTGCTCTGTAAATGCATGAAAAAACAGTGATGGAGAAATCTGATGCTTGTGTACCCAATGATGCAGGATCAGTCCTCCTTGGTGAACACGCTGGAATTTCCCAATAATTTGCAGTATCCCACAACATTCAGAAAACCAAATTCCTTGGAAATTCACGACACAAGGTAAAGAACAAAAACCCATGACGTTTTGCTTTGCAATTTGCAGGTAGGGCTCTGCTGTCCTTGCTGCTGCTGCTGGATTTGAAAGAAAAAAACCTGTGTACGATGTACGTACGCCGGCTGCATCCTTGTACAGCCATGTTCATGTGAGAGCGGAAAAAACTGCCTTCCAGCTCAGCTCTGCAGGGCTGAATTGCCGCCTGGATCCTGCGGCCGCCATGTTTACCCGGGACGGCCGGCCGGACGGCGGCGACCCCATCGGCTGCCACGCGCACATGCCCGGCGACCGACGGCCGCCGGTGCTGACTGTGAATTGACATGAATGCTGCCACTGCCTGTGCCTGCAATGTCCCAGCTTGCTTTGCAGGAGGCAGCAGCAGCAGCAGCTAGCTGTGGTAGAATGGCTGCTTCTGTGACCGTCTCTGCATTGCAGAGAGATGCAGTGAGTGTGTGTTGAGTGACTCCTCCAGCTGGGAGCTCCAGGAATTCACCTCCCCACACACAGTCACAGTCACAAACACACTCCCAGTGCATTACCTGTCTGTCTGCACTGTGCATGCAGTGAAACCTCTGAACATTTTCACCGTGGCATTCTGAATTCTGATCCGGCAATCAATCAACCAGCCCTTGCAGTTATTAGTGAAGTGCAGATGTATCATGTATCTGTCCAGCCATCAAATGCTGCAGTGGAGAACAGGGAACTGAAGGGGGTTCTTGGATTTGGCTTCTTTACTTTTTCGCTGATTTTATTTTTTTTTCTCTGGCACCTGCTTTTATTTCTTCAGATCTCATATTATCATCACCATATGGGTGGTTTTGCAAGAGTGGACCTGAGGTTCTTGCAGCAATGCAGCCGCAGGACCCATAGAAAGGACCATTGAAAACTGTGGCACAAAACATGCATAGTGAAAATGGCGCAGGCATTACAGAGAAAAGTAGTAGATATGCTAGCTATAATTTCAGGATTGTGCAATTTTGTTGTCTTCCCTGGCTATGGAGTACGGAGTATCATGTTACAACTCACCATGTCTTTACATATGGTTAACTTCACTTGTGACTCTCTCTTTTAAATAAAAATAGAATGACCCTTTTTCTCTTACAGTTCTTGATCTTGAATGGGCCTGCTGCATTAAATGCTGGTTTAGTCCCTTGTTCATTAAATGCTTAGTACTATGGCCGTGTCTAGTTCCCTTCAAACTTACAAAAATTCCATTACATCAAATATTTGGACACATGCATGGAGCATTAAATATGGATGAAAAAATACTAGTTTGCATGTAAATTGCGAGACGAATCTTTTGAGCATAATTACGCCATGATTTGATAATGTGGTGCTACAGTAAACATTTGCTAATGACGGATTAATTAGGCTTAATAAATTCGTCTCGCAATTTACAGGCGGAATCTGTGATTTATTTTGTTATTAGTCTACGTTTAATACTTCAAATGTATGTCCGTATACGTCAAAAAATTTTTGGCCAAACAACTAAACACGGCCTAGCTTGTTACTCCATTTTCTAGACAAATTTAAAATCAATCGCTGTCAGCATAGGGCTACATATATTTGGATGTAGGCGAGTACGTTTCAATTATAATGCTTTAGTCCTTCCTGGTATTTTCATCAAGTCCAAAAAAAAAACCTTCTACTTAAATGCCATATTTTAGATTCAGTAAATTTAGCATTCATTTTAGATAGTTAGCATAGAAAAAAGTCAAAAACTAACAGCAAGTCACTACTATATCTTTATTTCTTTTTCACCTCAAATAATAGTTGTTTCTTCATTTTTTTGTGCATTGATTGTTTCGAATCCTTAGGTAAAAATTGCAGGTTATGTTGTGTGTCCTGCAGGCCTCGCGGCCCGGAGCCTAGTGAGGACGAATAGAGAAGAGGAAGACAAGAGATAGGTAACCTCTTTCTTGATTCCTTCCAATTGATTGTCATGCCTCTCTTTATATAGAGCCGGCTTCTAACAACCTTATCTAATAAAACCTAACAAACTAACTGAATGCATGAGAGGGATTGAGTTCCACCCAAACACCAGGGGAACTTACAGTGATTCACCCTTTTGTTCTTTTAAGGCAGTAGTTTTAGTTCATTAACAGAAAGAAACAACTCTAATTTATTGTGTAGCAGACAAAAAGAACAGGATCTAGCTAGTTTGTGTCTCCACAGCTACCATCTCTATCTATTCCACTGCATTCATTAGCTCTTTCAGCTGGGATGTGCAGTCTCATTTGGATAAGATGCTGCATCCTCTTTGAGCATCTTCCTTGATCAATAGCCATTGAATTAGTGGCAGGCTAACATTGTGCATAACATCTCTGTATGTAGATTAGATAAGAGGTTAATTTCTTCCCTACAATTCTGCATGCAACAGGCTGGAAGCTGGCCTATTGTAATGAGTGTTTCTGCTGTAGCAGTCATTGGATTCTCATCTCCATAGCTGCAGCAGCATGCTGCATGCATGTGGCCTCCTATTCCTCCTGTTTTTCTTTCTTTTTTTTAATGTTCTTGAAACAAAGTGACATCCTCATTAATTTTTGTTCCAGACTTTGGCATTTTATTTGGTCCAGTACTTGGATAATTGGATTACATGCAACGAATGCTAGGAATGCGGTATGAGCAGTGAGATGATCTCCGGTTTTCTGAAGTGCAGTGTCCAGGTTCAGGTCATTTCAGTTGAAGCCGTATCTGATCTGATCAAATCAGATTCTGTTTATTAAGAATTAAACTACATGTCAAAGCAAGTTGATCTGTTGCTAACAATTAGTAGCACAATTTTTTCGAGTTTTTCAGTTTAAATGTGTTGTAACTAAAGGCTAACAAAGCCAACAATGATAATATGACATGTAGTTTGTTCATAGTTACCTTGTTCAGATAAATGTAAGAGAATAAATGAGCCAGTATTAGTACATTAAAAAAAAAATGGCCATTGCCTTGTCAAACACACACACACATGCTTCTAGTATTAAAGTACACAAACAATGCACTTTATATTCATGAAATAATATTTTATGCTGTTTATACTTTTATATTCATACAAGAATATTTTAGAAGTTGGTATCTTAATTTACTACAAACATTTAAAGTTTAATTAGATTATGTTTAGTCAGTTGTCACACTGGCAATTTTTCTACCTGTGGTGTGAACAAGCTACCCAAATCCCAGAGTTCATTGGATTCAGATTTGGATCTTGGAGTATCTGACTGACTGGACCGGCCACACTGTTTTTAGCTTCATCCTAGTATATATATTCCTATGTCTAGTATTTTTAGCAACTTGCATGCTGCATCCTAGGGCCTGCATTGCAGATTGTTGCCTGAATAAATTATGCATATGCAATGCCTCATGTGCATGTGCTCCATGCCTCCATTGAATAGGTTTGACTCTCTTATTAAACTAGAATACCTATATAAAATTTAGGTCATGTTTGCCTCACAAAAATTTTACACCCTGTCACGTTGAACGTTTGAATACTTACATAAAGTACTAAATATAGGCTAAAAAATAACCAATTACACAGATTGAGACTAATTTACGAGACGAATCTTTTAAGCCTAATTGCTCCATGATTTGACAATGTGGTGCTACAATAAACATTTTCTAACGACGGATTAATTAGGCTTAATAAATTCGTCTCGCTGTTTACTAACGGATTCTGTAATTAGTTCTTTTATTAGTGCCCGAATACCCCATCCGACACCCTGTATAATATCTGATGTGACACGCCAAAACTTTACATCTTTGGATCTAAACACCCCCTTAGAGTAAATTTCATAGAAGTGCAACAGTTCTTATTGTCAAAACTATCAATTTGCTCTAATTTAGCTAGAAATTTCATAAAACTATAACAATAGCAAATAATTTTACCAGTAAATTGCAACTCTTATCCTCCACATATATTTGACAATGTGGATCCAACTTGCCATAATGCGAGCATTACACGTGTGCCTAATTAATATACCTAACCTCTTAGTTTGCAGCTATCGGATGGACTCTAAAACAAACATAATGTGTGTATGACAGGTGGGACCATATATTAATAATGTAGTATATGTTTATAGATAACTATTATATAAATTGGCTATTAAATTAACTATAGATGATTTGGAGCCTCTAGTTGGCTATACTATTAAACTTGCTCTCAGAGATTGTTGCAGTAGTTTGTTAAAGTTGTAGCAAAGTAATAATTTTATATAGTTGCAGCTTTTTAAATTTACTCTAAAATTTATAGAGACGCGGTACTACAGCTCACTTCAGGGTTCACAGAAGTTGCACAACTACACATATATAGGGCCTGTTTGGGAAGCTTAAAATTCTAAAAAGCAGCTGGTTGTAAGCCAGCTTCTGAGAATATGGAAAAGCTGGGTTTTTTAGCTTCTGACTTCTAGTTTATTTTCTGGATTCTACAACTATAATTTTTTAGAATCTGGACCAAAAGCTGGAATGTTTGAGGGAGCCTCTGATTCTGAGAGAAGCTGTAGCAGCTAGAAGCTCCCCCAAACAGGTCCATAGTGGTAGTGTGACAATTTTTTTCAGAATGACAAATGTTAGTGGTGTTTATTTAAATTTGTTTCGTTGAGCACTGATAAATGCATAAATGGCTTCTCTAAAAATCGCGTGTCGTACTATTGTATTGGTGTGTGTGCACAATTAGATGTTTAGGGTGAGAACTAAGGGTTTATGGCTTTATGCATTAGCAATCTTGATTTCTATTATTCGGACTGTAAATAAAAAAAAAAAGATGAGAATTCAACGCATCATCCTAGTCTGTCTCAACCGTCCGATTTTCCTCCGATGGGTACAAACTAGGAATGAAAACAGACTGGATTTGGATGGATAGTGGTCACACTATACCCTAAACCATATTTTTTAAGTGGATTTAGAGCGGGTGCGGATAGTTTACGGATATGGAGCGGATTGTTTCGGATGTCAGAAATGGTGTGGAATCAGTTTGGAAACGGATTAAATTTATCGGATGTTATGTGTGTATGCAATCAATACAACATCGAGTTAGCAATGCAAGTAACAATAATACAATAGTCAATAAACGACCTGTTGTAATAATTGTGTGCGTAAGTGTTAAACAACATGAATACATGATGTCTATAATATAAAAATAAAGCTACGCAAATGTGACATGAGACGGTGAAAGCCTCGTGTCCTCATCCGCATATCATACTAATCTGCATCCGCCAGATTTTGGAGATACCATATCCTCATCCGTATCCATATACGTCGGATTTCTAAAAATCCGTACTATATCCTCGTTTCGGATGGTTTCGGAGCGGATCGGATAGGATATTATCCGATTTTGTTTTCACCCCTGGTACAAACAATGCAGAAACAGGATCCAATAAAAATTATAAAAAAAATAGTGGAAGCGCCTAGTTGTAATGGGCCAAGTGGAAGATATGATCTTAAATTTCATGTATCCATATGGGTGTTAATTAATTAGCTATCGATAAACTACATACATCTATATTCCTAGTAAACTGTTCTTTTTAACCTAGTGGAGCAAAAGATATGATGCAATTGATGAGAGTTGTAACTTGTAAATTATCAGCTCTTGAAGCCCGTTAATTAGCCTTCATTTTTTATGTGCTTTTAAAACACAATATTCGTCTATTCTCCTTTTGCGCCACGTACAGCACCATCGTGTGTGCCTCTTGGCTTAGCTGCAACCTGTTTTGAAACTTAATCACTAGAGATGATATTGCAGGTATTTTAATCGTAGTTTATTTTTCAGAATTGGCTTATAAATCAACGAGAGATATTGATATAAAAGTTTTATTATAAATATAGATATAAAAGTTTTATTATAAATTATTTTTTCTAGTAAAATGGTTTACGGACGCTAGATGATTGAACTGATACATTACTGGAGAAGTGATCTTTGTCGGATTATCCAAGATCCACAATATTCCCGGTTCAACTAAAAACCGGGTCTAAAAATTATTTTTAGTCCGGTTATTTGAACCGGGACTAAAGATGTCCATTTTAGTTTCGGATTTGTCA